ATAGATCTCGAACAAACAGAGGAAATGACCTACACTACTCTGTAGGCCATGCATGGTGGCACGAATCGGAACATCTAACCCTAATTCTGCTAACTCTCGCCCAAAGCGGTTCAACACATATCGGGTCATCCTGGTCCACCACCATTTGTCCCCAGAATAATGGACCCATCCATAGCATCTAAAAGTCTCTTTGGGTAATCTTTTTCCCGCTGCCGCTAACCGGTTCTTCACGGTGTTGGCTTGCACTATCTTCTCATTCTGAGGTATATTATCTTGTCCTAAGATACCCGGATGAAGCCCCCGCACATGAGCTCTTTCACTGGAGCCTGGGTTGGCTTCCTTCCCAATAAAACCACAATGAATACGCTCGTGATTTTCAGTCAACTTCCAGAACATCTCACGTCCAACTGATAGATTCCTGAACATTAATAGTGAGTGATCCCGGGGGATAAAAGGCAGATATAAGAATGAGGACCCATTCTGGTGCAACCATTGCGCAGGCTGGCAGAAAGCAATCTTCGGATCTTTCACCGAATCACCAAACAAGAAATCCGGCTTCCTTATGCATTGATTCGAGTCTTGCTCCGAGATCAAGGGCGCATCTGTGATTAATCGTCGTAGAACACGACAACTACCTCGCTGGATTAATTCTCTATCACTTCCGCTATAATCAGATTTAAACTGGGGAGAGGATTCAATTAACGGGATCCCCTCGTAATAAGAGTGGGTCACGCTACTCCGGCCAGTAATCACATCAGCAGTAAATGTGGTAGAAGGAAATCGGACTGATAAAAGAGGCATACACATAAATGGTGTAAGTGTCATCCTAAAATTTTAGAGAAAAGCGATATATCTTACTCTATAAGATATAGTCGTTATCTCACAACAGGTGTGACGATTTCCCACCTACCACATGTATAAAGGAGATATGCGGGCATTATAACGGCATACCAGAACCTTTCAATACATGTAGGAGGATATGAAATCGCCCCTGTGTATTATGAAGTGCGTTTTGTCCAAGCAAAACAAACACTTTTAAGCGTCGATCCCCTCAAAGGAGGATACCGGCTCTTCTCGAAGGTACCTCAAAGGATACAAACGAGGATCTGCAAGCAAAAATAGGAACATACATATGGAATGGACGAAATACAATATTTAAATTCGTGAAAAGGTGAAAGAAATATACCTCCACGTGGGGGTGCAGCAGGGGCAGCCTCCTCAGGGCTTTGAACAGTCGGTCGGATTCCCTTTCCTCGAGCTCTACGCGGCGACATGACGAGTAAACGATCTACAAGGAAACCCAACGAAGAAAGTCAGGATTTTTAGCAATAAATCAACCCAAATATCATCAAATATGGCCGAAATAATGCATGCATAGTCACAGTTGAAGAAAATCAAGATTTCGGAGAAAAGGGGGGTGAACAGACCTTTAAAATCCGAGTGCAATCTTCTCAAACAAGAACACCACTCAATTCAGCAACAAAAAGGAGAAGAAATAGAAGAAAACTGGTCGAAAATCGCCCAAGAATCGCCCAAAAAATCGCCAAAATCCGACGTAAAAAACCCTAAAACCCTAAGTCCCGACTTATATAGCAGCCGGGCGAGACAGGAAACTCTGTCTCGCTGAGCGAGACAGACAACTCTGTCTCGCCGAGCGAGACAGAGAACTCTGTCTCGCCGAGCGAGACAGAAAACACTGTCTCGCCCAGCAAGACAGAAAACTCTGTCTCGTCAAACGAGACAGTAAACTTTTCTGTTTTGCACTATGGAACAGTGGAATACTCCAATGGGTACACGAGTCTAAACTGTATTCCCACCCTCAACAGGAAGTTTCTGGAGAATATTAATCTGAATATTCTTAAGGATAACCTGAGGAATTCTCAATGGATATACCAATTCAATGGTAAACGCTGAATTCACAAGAGCAAGTATCAACTTCAATTCAAGATCTCGACAACGGTCAAGCGATAAACGCGACGCCGGGAGAACGTTAGCTATTCTACGAAGAACTGGATAGACTAACAGCAGAAGAGGTTAAACATTGAAGCCATTTACAAGTCCTTTCATACGATCTATTCAGCCAAGCATTGAAGGGATCGTAAGTAAAATCTATCTTATCCAAAGTATCCCATGCTCCTCTATAAAAGAATGAGTCTGGAATACTTTGGAGGGGGTATCTGTAGGCGTCAAAAAATGCTAATAGATATCCCAAGCATAGAGAAGATCACTCAAAAATTCACAAGAAAGGATTTCATACTGTTTTGGAAAAATCAAAACAAGTATGAACTGTCTCGCCAGCGAGACAGTCTTTGCTGTCTCGCCAGCGAAGCAAATTTACTGTCTTGCGGGTCGAGACAGCAAACGCTGTCTCGCCCAGCGAGACAGCAAACACTGTCTCGCCGTACTGATTTCTATGATTGCTGAGTTTTTGCAGTTACAGACCCTTGAGGCTATAAATACCCCCCTAGGGTCACTTCTGACGGGGATCGAGCATTTGGTAGAGCATTCCAGAGCAGAGAGAGCAGAGATTTGAGTTCTTTTCTTGCAACGCCTTGAAATTAAGCTTCGACTTGATTTTAAGAAGAACGACTATCTTACTTCGATAAGATATCGTTTCAATTTCTACTTCGATAACGAAGTTAGAATCATAAGCCCCCCTCTTCACGATCTGTGAATCGGCGGGCCACGAACCAAAGCGTTCCCGGCACAGGCAAAGTCCCACGAAAACGAGAATTGATAGACGATTTTCGTGTTTGTTTCTCAAGAGTTGTAATTTTTGTTTTGTTGTGTAGAAAAAGTCTTATAAAAAGATTATTCTTTCGAATTTGTTGTAATAGAACAAAGTTATAATGAATTCCACAGCAGCGACTTTTGAACCAAACAATATATCCCACGACAGTCTAGCTAGATTTGGGAATAACATATCATATATAGTAAAACAAAATTCATAAGAGATAAGGAGAAATTGATGATGAAGTTTTAAAGCATAAACGAGCGACCTATCATATGCATATCAGGATGCACAAATATACATTCAAGGGAAAGCTATACAGTTGACATGTCAGAGTATTCCCGAGTGATAATTGAAAGTGTTTATATGCATGGATGTGTTTACCATATTTCCAAGCAATTTTTTAAGATAAGAGGTCAAATAAGGAATAAATTGGGTTACTCTTTACATTTCTACAAGTAAAATACTTTTCCGACTTTACTCTATCAGATGACATGTATTCTAGACATCTATCAATCATAGAGACCTTATTTACTTTTTTTTGGCATTATCTGTATATATACCGCCTATAGAGAGGTATATATTTGTTACCAATTGTTCTTTCTTGTACTTAAATAAAATTTCGAGGACAAAATTTCTTTTTTTATGTGGGTAGGATGTAAAAATCCATTTTTTTTAAGTTGCAAATCAATTAATTAAGTTGGTTTCATATAGGAGGCCCACATCATGTTGGAATTTTAAACAAAAGACACACAAAACAATCAAAGGCCCATTAGTGTTCACCTGAAAGCCCATCTCCATCTTATACAGGTTCTTTTGCCAGATTGTGATATCGTGAGATTTTCTTTTTGATTTTTCAGGAAATATTCCCCAACAAACTCTGTGACTTGATCTCCCAAAATCCAAACCTGAGATCCTCTGCAGTTTCTTTTGTTACAACTACCCGCTTACCAATAATTAGAACTCCCTAGTCTTAGGGATTCTTTAATCAAAACTTTCATTTAAAACCCAATCTCCTCTTCTCCCCATCTCTGTTCCAAAACTGCAGAAAAAGAAAAACGAAAGAAAAAAAAAAGGGAAAAAAAATAAACCCAACAGAGAACAAGAGAAGGAGAGGGACGAGGTTTGGATTTTCTTTTGGATTTGGGGTACGTAGTCTTTTCTTCGCAAATCGACAAGCATCTCTTTCCTCAATTAAATTTTTAGTTTTTTTAAGCTTATATTCATGCAAGCATATTTTTCAATCCCTTTCCTTTAATTTCCTCCTATAAGTTATCTTTCTGATTGATCAATGATAATTATGGATTGCATGGTGTACACCCAATTACGTGCTATGTTAGTAACATAAACTAATTCCTTAATTTCTTCCTTTTTAATGGTTAGTTAATTTTAGTATTTTTCATATACGAGTGTAATGCTGAAATTAATTTTTTTTTTGTCATTGTATGGATCTAATGCTTGTCAGTTGATGTTCATTTTTTTGTTCTTTATGGATCTTTTGCTCCGGTGTTTTCCGAATAGAGCCTAGTATGTGGTTAAGTCTCTAGGTTGTGGAGTGAAATTGCTTAGACCTGAATAGAGCTTTAGGTTCATACTTTTTTTTTGTCCTGTTCATGATACATGACGTTTTAGCAATACACTGTTTATTTTTATTATTTAAGAAATGTTATGTGCTAATATTCTTCTTATATGGATCATAGTTAGATATTCTAAATCTTGCTGTAAAGATAGCCTACACATTAATGTTAGCCAACAACTATTATAGCATATGGTATTCTTTATATTTGTCTTCAAAAATTGATGCGTAAAGATATTCTCTAGTATTTTCTCAAAAGCTCCCATTGTTACACTTAATTTACCAAAAATGCCCTTCAAGCTCCTAATTATTTCAATTTATAGCTAACAATATCTTTAAACAAGACAATATTTTTCTTCTATAAATTCTTCGAAGCTACAAAACATCTTTTTCTTAGGATTTTTCAAACGGTTTTCAACACTAGTGTCAGGGTCAAAGGAACTTATTTTTTTTGTATAATTCATAATATTGGTTAATTATTTTTGGCCATAAGATTGGCACAAACTGATACTATAAGTGTTCAAAGCCTTTTAATGATAAGCCTACTTATTTTAGAATTTCCTTTTTATGAAGATTTCACCAGTAAACCGAGACAAGTGTTTAGATAAGTTATCTAGTTTTTCTCTGCCTGCAACGGAGCATTGGACCTAGTGGTTAGATGCCTTACGCCACAATAGAATGGTCATGAGTTCAAATTTTTGGCGTTTCTATTTGGTTTAGAGCTTTTGAATCCAAATGGGCCAGTATGCTTGCATCAATCATGACAAATCCTCCTGTGTGTTGACTCATCTTGCTAGTAGTGTCTACCAAAATTTCTCCCTGATGCATAGGTTACTTCTCATAAATGACATTAGATAGCTATAAATAAATAGTTTTATTCTTGTAAACTATTTTCTCCCGATTTAGATATATCAACCATGACATTGCTTAAGTCCAGTAAGTTTTTCTATAAACTTCATTTTTTTTATATAGCCACTACAATGATTTTAACAGATATGAAGAGTAGTTTTACTTATATCATTCCGGATTAAAATATGTGTGTTGTGTGATACATCTTTATATTTCTTTTAAGTATTTTCTGGATTCTTGTAGACTTTGAACTATGTATGCATTGTGATGATGATGTGTGATCACCTGAAGATATGTTTGATCTTATAGTGACCTTAAATAGGGCCAACTGTGCATTAAGACGACTTCCGTCAAAAATATGATTTATAAGCGTGTTTTCCATAACATGGCTATGCCCTCGATATCGATAACCCGATATGAGGTTTTCCCTTGGCTATTACTATTGTAGCATCGATTAGACGATGCATCTATCTTGTTAAGACATGTTCTGAACCATATTTATTTTTCATAGTTTTACGGAAGTCGTTCCACGGTAACTTTGTGGTTAGTGCATAACATTTCATGCACAGTCACTTAGATTAAACAAACAAATATGTGATTCAATAAAGAGGAATTGGGCGGAGAATAGGAAATGTATATAAGCGGGCTCATGCGCATTCCTGATATCTTGAGTTATATATACGAGGGCCAAGGGCCAATACCTGACTTGAAGCATTGTTCCCAGGACGTGTTACGGAAAACCGATTTATATACATGATATTATTCTCCGCTAATTCAAATAACATGTAAAAGAAGAATAACGTGCTTATATGCTCTGTGATAGATGTGTTCACAATATCTACAAGTAGTATTTCTTTTAGTCCCATTTAATTTAGATTTATCTTTTCTTGATACCTGTCACATACGCTTACACACACACTTTTCCTTCATTTTACATGCTTGTTGGGAGTTTTCTGACTCCCCTGAGATTTGCGTGCCCCAGACTGACTATTATTTTTTCGCAGGACCAAGAGTACTTTAGGGATCAAGCCTAGCGACAGTGATGACCTTCTGTCCTATCACTCGCTCAGCTTCAGTTTATTTAGGTAGTTATTTATTTTAGACGTTTCCTTAGCCACATGTGGTTCTCTAGACTATGATGTATTTTCCTTTTTCCCATTTTGGGGAGTTATGGACATGCCATAGAACTCTGTAATTTCAGATATTTTTTTATCTATCTATATTCTTTGTTATCTTAATTACATACTCTATGTAGTACTTTTGGCAATACATATGTATACAGGATGATCCAGAGTCGTGAATGTGACTGTATGGTTGCATTGCCGGCCGAGTCACGTTCCAAACTATCATGTTTTGGAACTGGTGCATGACAGTTTTGTTACTGTTTCCATTTTATTTCAATTAATTTGTTAAGTGAAGTAAGAAAAGAAGAAAATTGATCTTTCAAGCTCCGTAGAGAAAAAGGTTTTTCTTTCCCTTTCTTAAAAGTAATAGAAAAAAGTTGAAGAACCCTTCACCTTTTGCCCTTTTCTTGATTCTATGGATTCTGTGCAGTGTTTTTTTTTAATTATAACTAACTATTCTTCTGTTTTTCTGCGCAGTGATTGTTTATACATAAGCTCTAGCATGAGATCTTGGGGCGGTTTCCTCTTTCTACTGTTCCTAAATTTAGGGTTTTCTGTAAGCTATTCTGTGTTTTATAACTCTTATGTATCAAAATTTCCATTTTTTATATGAACAGGTTAGGGTTTATGCTTTATAATCTGTTTTCAGATTGCATCGGCCGCACAATCATGTCCAGCTAACCTTGAGGCCAAGTGTGATGGCGATTCTTGGGAAGGTGAATTCTTTCCTGAAATTCCGAAAATTAAGTATGAGGTGAGAATTTTAAGGTATTTTCTCATATTAATTTGTAGCTCAAATAAGATTATATTTTGAGATCACTAGTTATATTTGCGTGTTTATGTATTAGGGTCCGAAAAGCACGAACCCACTTTCATATAAGTGGTATAATGCAGATGAGGAGATCCTTGGAAAGAAAATGAAGGTTTGTTTCTTTAATTGATAGTGATGAATGACTTATACTTATCTAAAATGATTATAAAATAGTAATTATTATGGTTTCAGGATTGGCTGAGGTTCAGTGTTGCCTTCTGGCATACATTCCGCGGCACTGGAGCTGACCCATTCGGTGCTCCCACAAAGCAATGGCCATGGGAGGATGGTACAAATTCAGTGGCAATGGCCAAAAGAAGAAGTAAGATTGAACTTAATTAGAGAAATAATTATTTTATTATTTTTGGCTTTGCTATTTTACTAAATTGATTAACCGTATTATCTATGATGTAGTGAGAGCAAACTTTGAGTTCATTGACAAGTTGGGAGTTGATAGGTGGTGTTTTCATGATAGAGATATTGCCCCTGATGGTAAAACAATTGCTGTAAGTCGTCACTTCATTCTTTTCCTTTGATGTGTAAAGATATTTACTAATATGTTTCTTATGCTGATTGTTAATGCCTGAACGTGTTTTATAAACTAGCAATATGTAATAGATGTAGAACTTAGGGGTCTAGCCTAAGAGATTGAAGTTTATTTGTGAAAACTCTCCAATTAACAATATTGTTATGATCTTTTCAATTTCCTCCATTTATTTTAAATTATTTTCCCAAAATAATTTCATTGACATGATTCATATTTGTCTATTATCACATAAGTACATGTTTTGTTTATATTTCAGGAGTCAAATGCAAATTTGGACGAAGTAGTTGAACTTGCAAAGGAACTTCAGGTAGCGATTTTGCTCTGAATATCGTGTTGCAACTCTATTGTATTTACTGAATTGTTGTGGAGTTTGTTTATCTTATCCATGTTATATACTTTTTAATAATTATCAGGGGACTAGGATCAAACCACTTTGGGGGACAGCCCAGTTGTTCATGCATCCCCGCTACATGCATGGTGCTGCTACTAGGTCTATCCTATTTTTAATCTCATCTTAGAAAATATTGGACATTCTTACACCTATATTCTTTGCTAATGAATGTGTGTCACTTGCTATTGCAGCTCTGAAGTAGGAGTATATGCTTATGCTGCAGCCCAGGTCAAAAAAGCCATGTGTCACTTGCTATTGCAGCTCTGAAGTAGGAGTATATGCTTATGCTGCAGCCCAGGTCAAAAAAGCCATGGAGGTTGGTCACCAGTCTCTTTGTAAATGGAGTATATGCTTATGCTGCAGCCCAGGTCAAAAAAGCCATGGAGGTTGGTCACCAGTCTCTTTGTAAAAGTGATTTTAATTTCAGTCATGCTTGTGCTGTAATTTCTCTTTCCAATAGGTTACACACTATCTTGGAGGAGAGAACTTTGTTTTCTGGGGTGGTCGAGAAGGGTACCAAACTCTGTTGAACACAGATATGCAAAGAGAACTTGATCACTTGGTATGAACATAATATTGCCTTTTGGTGTTGTGTGCATGAAGTATTTTGCTTCTTTTAGTCATTTGAGTATATGGATATATATAGTTAATGGATAGCATATCTGAATATTGTCTACTAATATGCAATTGGTTCCCTAACAGGCTAGATTTCTTCAAGCAGCGGTTGAGCATAAAAAGAAGATTGGATTCAATGGTACACATTTCATGTTCCTTGTTACCTGACATGCATGTGCAAAAAATCTGAGTGATTAAGGATTTGTAGACTCCACTTCTTTTTGGGGGTGTTGAGGATCTAATTACTAGGTTAAAGGACTCAATTTTGTAAATAATGTACCAAGTTAGTGTTTTTTGAAAGGAGCATAATATACAGATTTTAAACATTTTTTGAATATCTATTATGCGTTTTTTTAAGTATCAGACATCAATGGACACAAATTCCATGTTTAAGACATTATTATTTTCTTTCACATATGGAGGTAATTAAGCAAGAACATCATCTCCTGAGACTTAAGTGTATCTGAAAATCAATTTGGTTTCATACTCGTGTGGTTATCTATGAAACTTATACATATTTTGAGATGGTTGATGGAGAGATATAGAGAGAAGGGAAAAGATCTACATATGATTTTCATAAATCTAGAAAAAACTTATGATAGAGTGCCTAGAGAGGTAATGTGGTGGGTTTTAGAAAAGAAACATGTATCTGGTATATATATTGAAATGATTAAAGATATGTATGATAAGAGTAACAATTAGAATAAGAGCCTGAACCGTTTTCTATTGTCATAGGTTTACACAAAGGGTCAGTTTTAAGTTCTTATCTTTTTGTATTAGTTATTGACAAACTTACTAGGCACATTCAGGATGAAATCTCATGGTGTATGTTATTTGCAGATGATATAGTGCTAGTTGACAAAACTAGAAGAAGAGTTATAATTTCTAAAGTAGAAAGGTGGAGATAGTCTCTTGAATCTAAAAGACTTTTAGATTTAGTAGAACAAAAATAGAATATTTTGAGTGCACTTTTAGTAATACTAAGAAAAGAAAAGAAAAGAGTCTTAGTACATACTGATGGTAAATAAATATTTAAAAGTAATCATTTTTGCTATTTAGTATCAATCATTCGATGTGATGGTGAGATTGAGATTGATGATGTTCATCAAATCAAATCGGGATGGTTGAAATGTAGGAGTGTTTTGGGAGTTATGTGATCATAGGATATCAATAAAAACTAAAGGAAAAATTATATAGGACAGTTATAAGACTAACAATATTTTACGGATTAGAGTGTTGGGCAATTAAAAAACATGTGCAAAAGATGAGTGTAGTAGAAAATAGAATGTTGTGATGGTCTTGTGGGTATACACTAAAAGATAGGATAATCAATGAGTACATCCGTCGTAAATTAAAGGTTGCTCCTATTGAGGATAAAATAAGAGATCAAATGAGAGAGAATCGACTAAAATTGTTTGGTCATGTACAACGGAGACCTCTTAGTGCATTGGTTAGGAAAACTGGTTAGGAAAAGTGATAGTATTGTAGTTAATGGGACTAGGAGATCTAGAAGTAGATATAAATGAACTTGGTTGAAATCATTTAAGAAGGATATGATATTGTATAACTTAACGGAGGAGATGTCTCATAATACAATGGAGTTGAAGAATACTTTTCATGTAGCCAACCCCGAACATTTGTGATAAAGGTTTTGATGTGTTGTTGCATCATCTTCCGAGGAAATTTTGATGGCTTACTTTAATTTCTCCTTGTGTTTTGTCATGAAGCATAAGTCACTATGCCCTTTGTTATTTTTCTTGGAATTTCAACTGGTTTAACTTTAATCACGTAACCGTTTGCTTGTTCTTCAGGTACTTTACTGATTGAGCCCAAACCACAAGAACCTACAAAGCACCAGTATGTATCGCAGGAAGTAAAATCTTCTAATAATTATTCTTGCTAGTTCTGTTAATTTTATTAACTCCTTTTTAACAGATATGACTGGGATGCTGCGACATCATTCGCTTTCTTGCAAAAGTATGACCTTGTAGGTAAGTCTCAGAGCATTTGCTTTTACTCTTTTTCGTCTACATTTTATGCATGCCTAGACGTCTACTCATTTACACAAGCACAGAGTCATTTGTTTTAGTTGTCAGTCGTATTTGTACCCATGAATTCAAGTGTCATGAAAAAGTATACTATGTAGGAGATGGTTGAACTTTGAAGGCCTAAAGGGTGCAAAAATAAAGGAGAAGGGCGCAAAGACAATCTTCCCTCCCTAAAAAATCATAATAGCTCTCAAAGATTTCTAGCACCTGTCTGTCATCCGATTATATTCTATTGTTTTATCTTTCTTAACATATGATTAGCCCAAATATCATTGTTTATTTCTTTCTATGTAATGAAAATCCTTCAATCCAAATCAGTTATAGATGAATCAGCCTTCCATTTTCTGTTTAGCTTGTTATGTTCTGTTTCTTAAAACACATTACATTTTAAATATACTTGTTTCTTTTGTAAGTTATCTTATTCAGAATTCATTAGATGAAACTCCACATTCTTTTAATGCGAACTTCATGTACTTTTTCATGTAATAGATGGGAACTTCAAATTCATTTATCCTTATAATCATTGGGATAGTTTGTCTGTGTCAAGAGTGATTATGTTACCGTAAAGTCACTAAAGCCTAAGGGTGAAGTTTTGTGCCATTCGGCAAGAGGTTTGTGGTTTCACTAATTGATATTATGTTGTGTGTCACACATGCTCTTGGCATTGCATTGTTTGTAATTGGATTGTGATCCATTATGTGGAGAGGTACCTTCTAAGTACTATAATGTGGGTAGCCAGTGTCAAATCATGAAAGGACAGCTGAACTATTTACACTGCTTATGTTATCGTCTGTCTTGCAGTCTTTAGTGTGTAGTCCTGATTGCTTTTGTTGATATCAGTCCCAGCAAATCAATGTATTTTTCCTTGTTGCAGGAGAATTCAAACTGAATATTGAGTGTAACCATGCTACTCTATCCGGTCACAGGTATGCCCTTAGTTGCATTAATTTTTTTTTCTTTAAGTTGTCATGTGGTATAAAGGTTTTAGTATGGAGTATCTATTATAATGTTTCTCCAAGGTTTTTGCCTAGTTTTTCTTACAATATACCTATATGATTATTACAGTTGCTATCATGAGCTTGAAACTGCTAGAATAAATGGATTACTTGGAAACATTGATGCAAACACTGGGGACCCTCAGATTGGTATTGTTTTCAACACAAAGCTATTAATCATTCGTGTACTCTTATGTCCATGTTGTCATACAGAGTAACTTTGGTTTTGTGTTTATAATTTGACTTTGCACAGGTTGGGATACAGATCAATTCCTTACGGACATAGGAGAGGCCACTTTGGTTATGTTAAGCGTGATTAAGAATGTATATTTCTCTCAACTTTCACCAAAGCTTTTTGATATAAGAATAATTCCATAAAATAACCAAATCTCAACTCATTAACATAATTGATTTAACTGATTGACCCTTTATTTAATTTCTTCGTTCTCAGGATGGACTTGCGCCTGGTGGATTCAACTTTGACGCAAAATTGTAAGAGCTCTCTACTGAATTCCTATTTCAAATCAGTTATAAATTCTGAAACCCAACTTGTTAACCAAAGTTTAAGGGCTTCTGGAGTTTCTTTTTTCCCCCTATGTGCCATGTTACTGAAATCTAAGCAATTGCTGTTTTATCCTTTTGATCGAACAGGAGGAGAGAGAGTACCGACGTTGAGGATATCTTTCTTGCTCACATCTCTGGAATGGACACCTTGGCTCGTGGGCTAAGAAATGCTGCCAAGCTGATTGAAGTAATAGATTAGGAATTAAGCGAAATATACATTTTAACCCTCTTTGGTTGTTGACATGTTTTTCCCTTTCTTGATTCTAGGCTGGTTCTCTTGAAGAGCTTCTTCGAAAACGCTATCAGAGCTTTGACTTCGAGATCGGAGCTTTGATCGAGGTAATTCTTGTTCTTTACATCTCTTTCTCTGTTTATATGCAAATAAATTCAATGAAATTCTTAATGGGTATGTTCATGTATTTAGGCTGGGAAAGCTGATTTTGCTACACTTGAGAAGAAGGCCGTGGAATGGGGAGAACCATCTGTTGCCTCGGGGAAGCAGGTATGAAAAGAAAAGAATCATTATCATTTTCATTAATTTATTATAAAGTACATTCAAATGGGTGTTAAATGAAATGGAAATCTTTTCTTTTTTGATGCAGGAACTTGCTGAGATGATATTCCAGTCTGCTTTGTAAAGATTGAACGGAGCTGGAAGCAGTGGAAGTTAGGAAGGAGGAATTTAATAAACTTTCAGTTTTAGAGGAGTGGACATAAGTAGAGGGGCTTTAGCTTAAATTAACGTGTCACGTTTGACAAATAAATGTACATCTTGTTGAAAACAATTTCGTTGGATCTCCAATATCAATGAGCTCCGCTGAAAATAAATAAGAAGTCTTTATTACGATATGATTCTATGTTGTCTTAGAATTTATAGTTATATCATAGGTAAATGTCCTTTTTCCAACTGTAGTTAGGGCATCTCCAATAGCTTCTCCAAAATTTTCTTCAAAATGGGGAAGCAAAAGTTATATTCTCCAAATTATTTTTACACCAATTCCAACAGCTTTTTCATTTTGAAGAATTTTTTTTTTCCTCCAAAAATTTGGAGAATGCTGTAGATTTGGGGGAACTTTCTTATTTTTTCTCCCCCATCCCTATTTTGGGGAATGAGATGAGGAATTAGTTGGGCTAAAAACCTAACTAAATTTTCCAAAAGTGAGGAATGAGGAAGCTGTTGGAGATGCTCTTATAACTGCATTTACACAAATAGCTGCGACTGATTCCCGATGTTCCAGTTGCGTGCAAATTCGGCGGTTACAATCAATGGAGAAAATTTACGTCTTCAGCGCTCCAATGGTGGTACTATTTGAGGTTGCCAAATTTTGCCAAATCATCACAAATATTAATTTTTTATTTTCTCTCTCATCCACATCAGTTTTGGCAACTTTTACCAAAAAAATGGTCCAATAGTTGGCAACTCCAAAGTTGCCTACATGGTCCCACATATTACTTTTTATATATTTTTTTAATAATAAATATTATCACACTAAAATTTTAAAATTCATAAATTAATATAAATAAATATTACATGAAATTTAAGTATAAATATTATCACACTAAAATTTTAAAATTCATAAATTAATATAAATAAATATTACATGAAATTTAAGTTACACCAATTTTAAAAATAACTCATAAAATTCATAAATTAATATAAATAAATATTACATGAAATTTAAGTTACACCAATTTTAAAAATAACTCATAAAAATACAATATAATATTTAATCAATCTAACATAATTAAATAATAAAAAAAAAAAATCTAATCAACATGATTTCCAAATTTGGACCATATATGCTCCACCAAGTCCGCCTGAAGATTGCGATGAATGTTTCTGTCACGAATTTCAGCATTTCTTTGAAGCATCATAGGGAAGTCGGAAATAGGTCCATGTGATACTTCAACTGTTGGAGTGTTGGCGGGGCCTTCGTCATAATTAAAACCAAACAAACCCTCATATGCATCTCTTTCATCCTCAACAATAATGTTGTGCAATATGATGCATGCATACATAATATTTTTGAAAACATCTCTTTGCAAAGAGAAGAATTTTGAGAATTTTGGGAATCCATTTAGCAAAAAGAAGAAATTTTGAGATATTGAAATTTTGAAGAAGAACATATGAAATGGTGTGAAAAAAACGAATGATATTGAGTGGTATTTATAGAGAAACAAAATAATTTTAAGTTGGTTTTTAACCAAAACATTAATAAAGTACCAACGGCCAAAAGGGCTGTTGGTTTGATTTTTCTAAAAAAATAAATAAAGAAAAGAGTTGGAGTCGTTGCTAATTTTTGGCAACTTTTGTTGGCTCCATTGCTACTCCAAGGGTTGGCAACCCAAGGAGCTCTCCCTTCATCATGTGAGCACTCCCCCTTGGCACCGTTATTGGAGTTGCTCTTATATCCTTGCATGTGGTGACTGGGCAACATATGCCCCCACCCGTGAATATGAGAATAGATCACTGTCACTCTTAAAGCCATCAATGCTTGATAGTGGCTCCCACCATCACCCTCTTAAATGCATTCTTTTCACCTCTAACTCTAAGTAATATATTTTTACGTGAGCAGGGTAACACTTACAAGAAAAAAAAAAAAAAAGCTGAAAAGCTAAGGTTAGAAGTGTTTATTTAATTTTAGCAATTAACAACTTGAAACAAGGATCTTATCCGAACCGCCTCGGGGGCCGGGGGGTTGCGCAGTTGACAAAATAGTTAAAATTTCCAAACTAATACTCCGCCCACCCGTGAATGAGAATAGATCACTCTATTCTATGGGGGCGCTGTGAAAAAATTTGCACGCCACAACCCGAGTTTCATTCAATGTCGAAACATATGAATCATAACTTATATGTTTTATTATTCTATGAGGCGTCTTTGATTCTTTGAGTAAAAAAAAAAAATCAAGAAGATTGTTAGTTGTACTAAAAAAGAATTGGGCAGATTCTAACCCAATTTTATCCACAACTACATATAACCCTCTTAATTTGCCGTGTTAGGATCCACAAACTAGGTTAAGTGAAATCAAGTAATTAACTGGTCTTGGAGGAGTAACCCTTGATGTGTTAGGTGACTGGCTGACTATCATTAGTTGTTGTTAATCAGTTCATGTCCCTGTTGAGGTTGATTTCCAACTCATGGAGAATAGGATGCCCTGAGTGCTTCAACTATACGTTACTTCAGACCTCGATGCCACGGGGCTAAAGGGTACGTCGATTTTGGCTAATTTCTTCTCCACTTTTGTTTTGACTGATAGGCTAAGTGTCGAGTTGAGATTCATGGTAGATCAAAAACAAGGCCTAACGGTAAATTAGTTACCTAACGGTGACATGACCAGTGAAGTAGAGATATCTACTACTTACAAACTAAAGGAGAACAACAAAAAAGTTCTAATGAGTAGTAAAATAACCTTCTAAAAAATACACCCACGTTTTTTTTAATAACTACACCCAGTACTCTCCTCTCTAACAACTCATTATAATAACTTCCACCTCCTAAAATACTCCAACGTTTTTTCATGGTATAACGTTAAGGCTCGGTCTTCTACGCCCACATTGAACTCCCCCCTTTCTCTCTCTATTTCTCTTTCTTCCCCAAAATCAAAATCAAAATCAAAATCAATCTTGCGGCAAAATTAGGGCGTTTTCCTAGGGTTTTAGTACCCGGGAGCGGAGATCTCTCGCGCCATGGCCACTCGCCCCTCTCCTCTCCTGTGCTTCGCTCTCCTCTTCCTCATCGCCGCTGCTAGGGCTGATGACGTGTCACGCGACGAAGACGCCCCCAAAATCCCCGGCTGCAGCAACAAGATCCAGTTGGTAAGTCCAATTTGAGAACTAAAGAAGTCCGATGCTTATTGGATTTTGATGGCTCAATCTGCTAAATATATGAAAATATAGGACGCAAGAGGACATGTGGAAAGACCATGTCTCTGCCGATGAGGAGTTGCGGGGGGCGATGAAGGGTTCCATCTTTTTGAAGACCATGTCTCTGCCGGTGTCGGATCCTCCCCCAAGGAGCGGTGGCGGCGGGGACGATACCAAAGTCGCCAAGGGATCGATGATGACGAAGAGAGGCGCTTACGCCGCCCTATCCAAAAAAATCCAAAAATATATTCCTTCCTTAGAGCACCATTATAAGGTCCTCCTGCTGTTTTTCTTCTCTTTAATTTGCTTCTCTTGGATTCTTTCTTATGCTTTGAATGCTAATTATTGTTTCTAATTCAATCAAATGAATGCTAATTATTGTTTCTAATTCAATCAAATATGCTATCCAAGATGCATCATGCAACATGTTGGTTTTAATTATTGTTTCTAATTCAATCAAATATGCTATCCAAGATGCATCATGCAACATGTTGGTTTTTTCTTCATTTCATTTCAACAATCAAATATGCTATCCAAGATGCATCATGCAACATGTTGGTTTTTTCTTCATTTCATTTCAACTGATTCATAATCTATTTTATTTCTAATGTCAGAGCATATTACTACTACATATAACTCCTCTCTGCCTGTTTGGCATCGCAAAGGTTACCGTTCTCTTGGTTTTCGGTTTAGTAAAATATGCTATATTAGGTAATTCAATTATCGACCTCTATTTTATCAATTTATTTTATGTTGCATTATTGTCTGACTGAATGTATTCCTCTATGCAGTGATGTTAGTGATATACCAGAAGAAACTTATGTACTCCTCAAAGATTATGAACTCCTTATAATGGTGCTATAAGCTTTTTGCTTCAGAAGGTTGATTCAAGAGATGGTATTAGATATACCTGCATTTAGTTTTTCTGTTAATACTTACGGTGCTTATTATCTTAAATATCTTCAGGACGCACTGCGACTTGATCGTTCTTCATCAACACATTTTGGACTCCCACGGGTTAATCCCTTTACTATTTGCATTTTCTTGCTCAATTGATTAAATATAATTGAAATTTTTTTATTATCATTATTTTCTCTATCAGGCTTTGGAGGAAGTTCGTATAATTCAACCAAGGATAACACTTTTTACTGGTATATATTTTGTCATAGATAAACGAACAACTTTTAACGTGGAATATCTGCTTTCTGAGTTTGTTTTCAGGAATATAGTTTCATCTCTGTTATTGAAGAAAGTCATTGTTGAGCGCTGCGGAAGCCAAACAACCAAACCAACATGCTACAAGAAATCAAATCAAACGAACGTCGAGAGAAGGTCAAACGAACTGAATCAATGCCACAAACACAAACAACCAATTTTAACGTGGTTCGGCAAGTTGTCTACGTCCACGGGACAAGAAGAGGATAGGGTTTTTTACTAATAGAGAAAAAGAGTATAAATTAAGATTACAAATCACTCAACTCACCAATTAATCTCACCAACAAATCTCTAATTCTCTCCAAACAAAACCCTAACCAATAGCTCAGAAAATACCTCTTTTATGTGCTCCAAATATCCCTAATTTTCTTCTCAATTCTCTCTTCCAATTATTCCATATATATAGAAATCCTAAAATCATAAACATACTAGGAATTCTAAAATAAAAAATAAAACAGATTAGGAATCCTAATAACATGTTACCAAAACAGATTTGGAATCATGTTACCAAAACAGATTAGGAATCCTAATAACCTGTTACCAAAACAAATTAGGAAACATATTAGGAACCTGCTATCCAACAGTCATTAATTTGATGAATATGGTTTTTATTTCAGTGGATATATTAATGATCTTCATCCATAGTATATTAGAAATTTCCCTTCTTGAAATCCCATTATAAGTAGAAACTCTCAATGTAGAAACTAATATTAGATGGAAAGTAAGACAAAAAAAAAATTGTTAATATCTCAGCTATTTCTGATTGCTAGGTATGATGCATCTGATGGACCATGATAAAGTGAACGAGGATCTTTCTAAGTTGAAGGAAACATATGGTCTTGATTTTCAACTGAGCTATGTTGGCCTTCATGTACCAGTGAGCCTAAAGATGTCATTTACATTCCTAAGTTTTGGCAATTAGTTTTTTTCTCTCAAGATTCGCGTTCAAAAATCTCAAGCACGAGATACAAACACCTTACATTTGTGGGTATGGACTGAGCAACCTATCTCCGTTATTTTTGAAGATACTACAACAAATATATTGGAGGGTGAAAAAAATCTGTTTTTAGGCGTGCACCTTATTCTAAAAGTAAATGCATGAGAAGAATTTTATGGTATTATGTGTTTGTTCTTCTAGCTCTGCTTGATTTATAGATGTGTAGAGTTTTGATATTGAAAGTCTTTCACAGACTTCTGGGAGATTGTTTAAAGAATTAATTGCACATAGAACAATAAAAATTATTTGTTTAGTGCTAAATGAACTATCGAAATAAACTTCTGTGAATATATGGACAAATAATAACCGAACTGTTTGTTAATTATTCGGTTCAATTCCACCCCTATACTTCATATCTAAAGCAGAATAATTTATTTTGGTAACATGTTCAAACTTCTGTGAATATATGGGCGAATAATAATCGAACTGTTTGTTAATTATTCGGTTCAATTCCGCCTCTATACTTCATATCTAAAGCAGAATAATTTATTTTGGTAACATGTTCAATATCATGCCCTTTCTCTAGAGATGAAAGAGATTTTAAAAAAAAAATCACCCAGGAAATCTGCCTCTCAACTCAGATTACATGGCAAAACTTGATACTGTTTCAAGTCGTGATACCCCAAGGATGTCAAATCAAATCTCAAAAGTGAAGTTCATATTTAGGGCAAAAATTAATCGATTGCTAACTCCATTGCAACTTACTGATGCCCTCCTTCAACTGTCACTTCAAAAAAAAAAAAAAAGATCATTACAACCAACACACCATATATAGTCACAAATTTGTCATACTTACTTGACTAAAGCAACAAGTCCTACATTAACTTGAGATCTCCAATCATCAGTTTTCCAAACTTCAATTCGCATCAAGGATCACAAGAGCAGAAAACTCCATAATGATATCACAACACACTGTGTGTGCGCGTGTGTATGCACAAAGCTAGAACACAAATATAGTAAAGCTTAAAATCCCAGATACACCATCCCCTTAAAAGTTCGTCCGCGTTGTTTCACAGCGGACAGATGAAAATTTCTGTCTTCAAATAGTCCATCTGCATCGTGTTTCTACTTAGATGTTGTCTCATCAGAAGATTCCATATCGAGCGGAGGATTATGTCGATCTTGTGGAAGCTTAATTCGACCAAAAGAACCAGCAGGGACAAGCTCCAAGTTCTCGCAGTTGCATATCTCGATCATGAACCCGTCGGGGTCATTGAAGAAGAGTTGGTCTATTGGTTCTCCTTCCTCCTCATTGATAGTTCTCTTCATGTACTTTATGTTCATGTCCTTCAATTTTTGTTCCATTGCATCCATGTCCTCACACTGGTATAACAATTCAACATACGTACATAATAAGAGGACTCAAAATTTTAGCATGATATTAGTTAGAACATGATCTTGAAAGAATATTTGGGTGTTTTTCAAGCATATTATATCAATAACAATGCAATATATATGTTTGCCCCTTTTAGAAGCCTATGATTGTTGCGCCGAGCAAATTATTTGTAACCTAATATCACATATTAAGTCATTATGAGTTCAACTTCCAACTTGAACTCACTAATCGTTTTTGAATCTTGAATTGGTGCCCAATGTTGTTTCGGAATAAAACAACGACGTTTAAATTTGAATTACAAAATCTAACCTAGTTCATATTTACTCACAAAACTCGATGAGACTCTTGTTTTGCATTGTGTCATTACTCATGCATCAAAGCACATCAATCTCGAATCTTGAATTGGAGCACATGAACGCCGTTTCGCAAGGGGAAAAACAACTTTTAAATTTGAATTACAAAAATTAACCTAGCTCAAATATTCAGTCACAAAATTCGACGAGACTTTCTGAAAGTTGGTCAGAATTAGAAAATTTTGATTTTATAAAATACATGGGATTTGCATGCAAGATATCAGGCCGGGTGAGGTCTTTTTTTTAAATCAACTAGCTTATTAGAACAATGGTCGCATTTCTTTAATTATTATTATTATTATTATTATTAATTAGTTTGGGAAAATTTAATTATACCCATGCATCAATCCTTGAACCACTACCACGCGCTACAAAAATCATTTTGCAAGTCCAGTGAGGCAACAATTCAATCATCTCTTGGGTTTCTAGTGCATCCTAATAATTCTTATGCTTGCTCATCTAAGAATTGAATTTGATGTCTTTGATCACCTGAAAGGAGATGTGATTATCCATAGGATCCAGCCGCTCCGTCGCCGCGTCCTCAGCCCCTCCCCCACCCTTCTCCTGCACCAAATGAATCCCAACTCCATAATTGAACAGCCAAGCTCCGTCAAAATTCAGCGTCGGCGGGCGGTTGATGAGCACGAAGCCGAGCGCTTCCGTGTAGAACCGGACCGACGCCTCCACCGACTTGCAGAGCCTCGAGACGTGGTTCAGGGCCATGAGTGGGATCCGAGGTCTCCCGTCATCTTCACCACCATCTTCGCCTTGGTGCTGTTTCTCTCGTCGGCTCAACTGCTGCTGCTGCTGCTCCTCAAATTCCCCCATTCTCTCTCTCTCTCTCTCTCTCTCTCTCTCATACACCACCGAGGAGAGAATTGTGTCAAACTTATAGGAGCTTTGTTGCAGAGGATGCCACGAGGAGCTGTTAAAATGCGCCAGCTGCATGCAGCATGCAAGGCGGTGCAGTTTGTACTAACAAAAATGAGGACTATGGCACTAGAAAGGTGAAAACTTCACAAGATTTCCCCTTTTGGCCGTTCCTTAAATGACCCCTCTTTAACTATTTCAACGTCTGGTTTGGTATACGGAAATATAGTAAAGTGAGAATAGAAAGAATGTGGAAATGGAATAGATGTGAGAATGAAAAGCTAATTTCTATTTTCATGTTTGGGCGTGTTTAGAGAATGACAATCTTATTCTCATTCCTAATTTGGTATGATTTATTAATTCACAAGTGAGAATAAAATTTAGTTTGCTAATAATGCCCTTACCAAAACACAGAATTTTAAAAACATAAAATTTTTTTAAAAATGACTAAATAATTCATTTTTAGAAAAATAAGTTTTATAGAAAATATTTTTTTTCTTAGAGAAATAAATTTTTATGTGATAATTATATTTTGGCATACCGCCTCGGCAACAATTTCGGACGTTTGGCTTACAAATTAAAAAATAATTTTCATAAAAATAATTTTTGATTATAAATAATTATTATTCCACCTTTCTAACTTCTAGTGCTACATGTCTATTATTTGTACGAGTGGTAATGTTATTAGCATCACTGTGCGCTAGTGAAGAGAAGAATGCCTCATAAGAGATATTGCATATAGTCAAAAATATTTTTTTTATCTAGATGCCAACATGATTGGAAAAAAAAGGACGTGATAAAATAAGAAAACGTCAAAATTGTATGCTTATAGATCTACAGACCCACCATTACCCACGTTAATCAAAATGTGTCTACTAAATCATGAATAATCGAGCATTCTTCACAACATCTCCTGATAAAAGAAAATTTGAGATTTCATGTTCAGGGGAAAAGTAAAGGAAAAAAATAAAAAAGTGCAATATATCATCCATATGTCCAAAATTAATATAAACGATAGTATCTATACTTTAAAATTTCATATGCATAAACTATCACATTCGATAGATTATTAGAAATATCCAAATTCTAATCAAAATATCCATAAAATAGTACGAGCAAAATAATTGGACAACCATCAAGGTATCAAAATATTAAGTTTTGAAATTGAAAAATGATAAACTAGTCTATAACTCCAAAGTGCCACCTAATACTCCCCGCTGTATCGCCTCACCCATGTCTCCTTTAGATTATCACCAATTGTGAAGAACAAATCTAGCAAATTTCGGTTAGCACAAATCGTCACTATTGCTGTAAAGCACTGATCCGTAGTTAAAATTATTTTCACTACTTGTTTAGTAAATCTTTATCTCTTCTCGTACAAACTCACTTCATCTAAACCATCCTTGATCAATTGGCTTGATTTAACAAGCTCACTTTCAATATATGTACTAGTTTCCCTCATGATCTCTCCTAATGAATCGCTATCTCCAGACAATCATTTCTTTCTTTTTCGCTTCAAGGATACATCACTCGTGTCCCCTGTTGTTGCATCCTGTGAAGGTGAGTCAATATCAATAAAATCTTCTCTGACAGTCTCTTGACTAACCTCTTTATCCAATTCCTCTATAACGTTAGTAGGATGTTCCATTCCTTTTCCTGTTGCCCTATCCTTCCCGATCACAATAGCTAGAGTTTCATAGTGTGGAAAAAATTTCTCTCTGAAAGGTATTGTATTTTTGGGCCTACATTAACATTAAAAAAAAACCAGCAGTCGTTAATTAAAAAATATGTCAAATGTAAAAATGATCATGTGATATATTAAAATTTAATAGTAAACTACCTACAAAAAATATTCAACCCAAACTTCTTTTTCAGCAGTCACACATTGCTTAGTTGTGTCCCATCCGAAGCCACTACAGTTAAGCATATCAAACACAATGCTAAATTGGGTCTTAAGTATCTTCATCCTTGATCTAATGTGAGGATCAACCTTTAACCCTGAATTCGTGAATTCGGTAGTGACTCAGAAAGCAATCTTTCAACAACATTGTAGTGTCCAGGCTTGAATCCACGGTCAGCATTGTACTTTCTAGTGTTATGTAAATCCAACAACGCGTCAACCAATTTTTGAGCTTCTATAGTAGTCCATGTGTACTTATTCCTTCTATGGCCTTGTTGGTCTTCTTGATCCATTCCTAAACAATTATATTACTTATTTATCAGTTATTACATCTCTACTTTTCTTGTAATATATGCAAATTTTTCCTGAAGCATTAACCTCTCAAGCATAACAATATCAGATAACAACAAATCACTATATTGTTAAAAAACACAACCATAGACCTATATTAGAAATTTTATTACATATAATAATAAATAATTCCATGTAAATATCAATTATCATTAAGAATAGTAAGCTTTTCAACATGAGCATGAGTCAATTGCTAATAACTCAAATATTTCACAAAGAAAAAAATTTATTGTTTCCATGATTAAACTTTGTACATGACAAAGAAAAAAGAAAAAAACATATGACAAACATAAAAGCCAAACCATTATTGTTGCCCTATCCACTGGTTATACATAGAATCTGTAAGGTTATCTCGCCACGAAGTCTAATCTGTAAGGTTATCATTAGCATTGACAATTTGAGTTGTTTCCTCCAAAACATCAAGACACTCTTCAAATGGATCGATCTCCATCTCCCTCCTTATATAATTATGAAGGAGACTACATGTCATGATTATTCGATTTTGTATCTTGATAGGGTAAAATGAAGGACTACGTAGGATCGCCCATCTTAATTTAAGCAACCTTACTCGATAATATTTCTAGCTGATGCATGTTTCATATTGAAAAACTCCTATGCAATTGTCGGTTGGTGTTCGTCTCTCCATTCATTCAAGTGATAATGTTAGCCTCTATATGGTGCAAGGAAACCATCACAATTTGTGTATCCCTCATCAATAAGATAATAGTAACCTATGGCTGGACATATCATTTATCTAAATATTAGTGAATTTGACAGTTGCTAAAAGCAAATATTATACAAATTATAGTTTACTTACCACTGGGACTTTTAATCCATTTCTTCTGGTTATTGCTTCTCGAAGTACTCTACTATCAGCCACTGACCTTTCCCACCCAGGTAGTAACTTGCATGTTTTGAGAACATACACCCAAGACATTTGTTGCAATTTCACATTTTCATGTCCTATACCTAGTTTTGTCCTCGACAGCTACTCTCACTCTTATATAAGTCTCATTTAGAGCTCCAAGACAATTCTAAATATAAGTGAAAATTATCATGTTAGGTTACTTATAAAAACTAAGAAATTCAAATAAAAAATAATTTATAAGTTATCTTGAACCATTTCCACCCCGTGTCTGTTGAGTCTATCGGCACTGGATTAAGTTTTTGGATTAAAACATCGTACAGACGTATTATGGCATGTAGCACATGAGTAAAATGCCTACTAATAGTTTCCTCCATCTAAACGTTGAAACATTTGTTTTATGACCCTATTCTTCACATGCTGGGTGAGAATATGTAGAAACATTGCAACTTGTTCATCTATCAACATATTTTTTGTATCTTTCAGCCCTACATGTTCTAGCATAATGCACAACTTTATAAAAGAGCTCCTATACATTCTAAGCTGATCTAAACAAGTTACATAACTCGCATATGCAAGACGATACACATTTTTTTTTCTTTTGGAATAAAAAACTACCAAATATCGCTGTCTTAGTGATTTCTTTTCTACGTAGATTAGGCGTGATGAGAAAAGAAACCACCAAGCCACTATACTTTGCACATTTCTCGTATGTGCTTGGACGACCACCAGTTTCTTCATCTTTCTTCTTTCATCATCAGAATCCATAATGTGAAATACAACTATTGCATAAGGGTAAATATGTATATTTATTTATACGTAAGCATTTTAACAATAGGGCTATAGGGGGATCTACTCACCTCCTCAAAACATTTTAAACAATTTTAAGAATAAAAAAAAAATTCTTCGTTCATCACCATTTCTTCTTGTTATTCATGAAATTCCTCTGAGTTACTAATTATGAGCCTATGGATTACTTTATACATGTAGTTGTGTCTGAATTCATAAGTGTGTTTTAATAACTAATCAAGGAACCAGGGAACATGTCATTTTCTAGCACTGGAATTGACTTATTAGCCTAAAAATTTAGACCTAGCTTATATTTATACACGAATTCCTTCCATTATTCTCTGACCATGTTAAATCTATTGCTTAGGAACTTGTGGGACTAAAAGATACTATTAACGATCTTAAAATAGTTTACTGCATGCATGAATATCAAGCTACATAAACGTAGAAACAATGGATATTCGTGTATGTCGCTTCCTCTAAATCCTTAGAAAGCTGGCCAGTACTCTCCGAACAAACTGAACTTGATATCTCAGAGCAAGAAACTTTTGTTTGTGGTTTTCTAAATTTAAGGTTGCTTTAAATATGCAGTTGTGTTCAAAATCTGAACTTGTTATCTATAACCTTATTTCGCAAGTTCTTCATCTATTTTTCTTGCTTTTCTAGTAATTGCTAAATTATTTTTTTATTAGTCATTAAAATAAGCTTTCATTAAACCAGTTCTTAAGAGGAGATTTATAAAAAATTTTACTAATCAATCATTCAATAATATAATTAGCTAGAGAGTAGAGATGTTCTATCAACAACATTGAAGAATTTTTCTATCAACAACATTGAAGAATTTTTTTTTCCAAGTAATCTAACACCAAACACCTAACGGAGTCATCACAAGATAAAAAATTCTTGTAAACATTAGATAAAATTTTGCCACACATATAAATTTAAATAAGAAACAATTATTAACTTACCGAGCGACGTGGAGGCGAAGCCTAGAATTTTCTTCTGAAGACACGAGGTGGAACTAGGCCAAGGTCTTNTCGGTAGTGATATAAATTTAAAAATTGCTTAAGACCGATGTGGAACTATGGCGTGGAGGCTAATCTTTTTCCAAACTGTATTATGGTTTTATTTGTATATTTGTACTAGTAGCTAATGATATTTTTCTATAAAAATAATTTTTCATATGGGAATTTATATCTATTTGTATCTTTTAAGGAGGGTATAATTTGAAATTATTTGATTATTTTTATTCCTACTCAAGTGGGAATATCAATTCCTTGTTAAATTGTTTGGAATAACAATTCCCATACAAAGTGGGAATTGATAAGAAGTGAGAATATCAATTCCAACATCTAAAAATATATCATGTTTGGTACGCAGGAATAAAGAGTTAGAATTACATTCCATTCCTACTCATTCCCGCGTACCAAACTAGACCCGAACTCCGCCTACTCTACTAAACACATAAAAAATGTTTCCGAAGTAATACTGTCAAATCAATCTGCTCATATGTTAAGCACATGCTAGAAAAACGTTTTTTTTATAGGAAAGAGCCACAAAATATAGTGGTTTTTAAGAAAACCACTGCAAATTTTTCATAGAACCATCATGAAAATATAAACTTTTTACAAAGTGCCATCAAATCATAATTTATATTAATATTTTGTTCAATAATAGTATAAAATGACATGAATGCCCATTATGACAAAACTATGAAGGGGTGGGGGGTGGGGGGGAGCATTTGGAGGTAGGGTTGGTAAACGACCGAATCGAATTAAATATCTAACTATTCGGATTCGAATTCGGCCCGTTTTCATATATTCAAATCCGTGATCATATTCAAATCAAATATTAAATGATCATTCGAGTTCGATTCGACAACATTTATTAGCATTCGATAATTATTCGCGAAAATTCATTTAGCAACAAATTGCTACTTTCTCTATACTATTCATTTAATATTCGACACCTATTTATTTAACAAAAAAATTGCAGAGGTAGAGATATACAGAGACGGATGTGGCGAAGTCGAGGGATGATTAAGGTGCTAATGAAGCGCTCGAACTTGACCAATATCTGGGCGAATGATAACCGAACAGTTTATTAATTATTCGGTTCACTTCCACCCTTGTTTGGAGGAAATTAAAAACTTTTGAGAGAGTTAACAAAGTTTAAGAGGGAAATAAGTGCTGTAGAAGAAAATATAATAATAGATTGGCAGGTCCCACTGTAAGAGTATTTTAGGAATTTAGCATATTATTTAACATGGTACAGATAAAAATTATGATTTGGTGGTTTTTTATTAAAAATGCATATCCTTATGGTGGTTCTATGAAAATTTAAAGTTTTTGTGGTGGTTCTCCGAAAAACCACTATACTTTGACTTTGTGGTGGTTTCACATAAAAAAAACCTTTTTTCCCCCTAAAAACCACCTTAAAATAAGGTAATTATACGAAAATAATCTTTCAATTTTAATTTATACATAAGTTATTTTAAAGTTGATTTGTGTTGCAATCAATCATCACTCAACCAAATTTTATCCTAAAAACTCAAAAGTACCCTTAAAAACTCATAAAGTATGTGACACATTTTGTTAATATTTAGGTCTTATTAAGATACAAGTCATGTACCTTAAATATAATTTTTTTGAGCTTATTGTTTTTAATAAAAAATTGACTTAATAAAGGTGACTGATTGCAACACAAACCCACTTTATAGGCAATTGTACAAATTGAAAGTAGAAGATGATTTTTGTATAGTTACTTTGTTTTTTAAGGTGGTTTCCATGAAAATAAAGCCCTGAAAAAAGACAATTATCTCTTTGTTTTTAAGGTTGTCCAAACGGGCCGGTCCAGATTTTCGGGTCCGGGTTTGGGCCAAATCGGGCCGGGCTCCGGGCCAAATCGGGCTGGATTTTTTTGTATTTTTTTTGTATTTTTGTATTTTTTTGCTAAAATTTGATTAAAATTTAGATTAATCTTATTATATTTATATAAGTATGTATTAGTATATACTTATATATTAGTATATAGATATATATTATATGTAAGTATATATAAGTATACATTAATGATCAAATCATACTATAATTATATATAATATACATTAGAAATATATATATATATATAAGTATATACAAGTATATATTAATGACAATGTACACATAAAAATATATATATAACTATACATTAATGATCATACTCATACCTTATACTATAATATCTATATATATAGTATATATATATATATATATATAATATATATATATAATATATATAGTATATATTATATATATATATATATAATATATATATATATATATATATATATAATTGAGAAAAATGAGTATGCTTGGTACCAAGTATAAATTTTGTGATTGGTAGTGAGGTGTCATATTCCCCACATCCACTCATTTTAATTTCCAACCATTCTGTCAAACCATGTGAATGTGGGCCCCGATTTCAATGGAGTGGCAAGGAGAATATGGTCACCTCACTACCAAGCATAAAAACTTGGTGCTTGTACCAAGCATACCCATTTCTCTCCGAGAGAAAATAGGTATGTTTGCTACCAAGCACAAAAAGTTATTTTGTAGTGAGGGGCATAATCCCACCCCCTTCCCTCGGGCCGGATCATATCATACTTACTATTATAATATATCATATATATATATAATATAATATATATATAATATATATATTATATAATATATATATACTATTATATATATATAACTTATATTTATATATATACTATAATTATATGAGAAAAATGAGTGATGCTTGCGTTACCAAGTATAAATTTGTGATTCGGTTCAGTGACGGTTGTCATTATTCCCCCATCCCTCATTTTAATTTCACTACCATTCTGTCAACAACTGTGAATGTGGGCCCCGCATTTAATGAGAGTGAAGCGCAGAATACGTGTCACCTCCACTTTACCAAGCCATAAAAAAACTTGGTGCTTGGCCTTACCAAGCTATACCCTTTTCTCTCGAGAAAAATAAGGTCATGTTTCTGTCACCAAGCCCAGTCAAAAAGTTTATGATTCTGGTGCGTAGTGCAGTGGCATAATCCCGCCCCCCCCTCCCTGACCCCCCCACATCATTCAAAATGGTATACACTAAATCCCCATGCGCTTCTCAACCCAGTCGTGAATGTGATACCCCAATTTGAATGAGTGGAGGGTATTGCCACCTTACTACCAAGCCACCATATTTGTGCTTGTTACAAGGCATAACCATATTTCATATACACATGTGAATGTGAGTCTCCGATTTCAATAAGTGGAGTGGAATATGTCACCTTCACTACCAAAGCACAAAAAACTTGTGCTTCGGTACCAAGCAACCCATTCTCTCTCACGAGAAAAATGGGTTATACTTCGGTACAAGCATAAGTTTTGTACTTGTAGTGAGGTGATATTCCATCCACTCATTCAAATGGTGGCATATCCACATGCACTCCCCAACCCATGAAATGTGTTCCCCCATTTGAATGAGTGGAGGAGAATATGTCACATCACTACCAAGCACAAATTTTTGCTTGGTACCAAACATATACTCATACTTTTATATATATATATATATAATATATATATATATATATATTATATATGATATATATATATATAATATATATATATATATATATATATATATATATAATATATATATATATATATATATTATATAATATATATATATATATATATATTATATATAATATATATATATATATATATAGATATATATATATATATATATATATAGGAGAGAGAGAGAGAAATGGGAGAACTTGTACCAAGTTGCTCCATCTACATTGGAGTTGTGAATGGTAGTTGAGGCTCTATCTTCGAGATGTGATTTGTAGGGCAAGATTAGACCACATCACTACCAAGTTGCTTTAAGCCAACTTGGTACCAAGGGTTCTCTATTTTTCTCGTGTGTGTGTCGTGTGTGTTTATATCATATATATATATATATCATATATATAATATATATATATAATATATATATATGAGAAATATGGGATATGCTTGTGACCAAGCACAAATTTTGGCTTGGTCCAGTCGAGGGTGGCACAATCCCCTCCACTCATCTTAAATGGGTCGGACCACATTTCATTGAGTTGATGAGTGTATGGAGATGTGCCAACCATATTGAATGAGTGAAGGGGATTATGCCACCTCACTAGCCAAGCCACAACTTTTTGTGCTAGGTACCAAGCATACCCATTTTCTCTCTCCCTTCTTCTCTCTCTCTCTCTCATCTCTCTCTCTCTCCTCTCTCCCTCTCTCTCCTCTCTATATATATATATATATATATATATATAATATATATATATATTATATATAATATATATATATAATTAAAAAACCAGTCGGGGTCCGGGTCCGGCTTCACCATCTTGGTCCGGACGCGGGCCAAGCCCGACCAGCTAGATTTTTCGGGCTTTAACCGAGACCCTGGCTGGAGTCCAGGCCGGGCGTCGAGCCGGATCGAGTCGGCCCGACCCAGGCACGGATCGCCGATCATCCCGGATTTTCCGGGCTTTAGCCAGACCACGGTTCCGGGCCCGTCGGGTCCGGCGCCCCTAAGAGTGTCGGGTCGGCGTCCGAGTCCAATGCCCATTTGGATACCTCTACATAATCCCAAAGTTTTACTCCCATTTAGTAAATCCAATATAAAAAGTTTGTTCATCTTTAAATCCAAAATATAAAATATTAGGTGTATAGCTACATATTATAGGGCGTACAGTTGTATACTGTATACCTACATACTAGGAGTGTATATCTACATACTTTAGGGTGTATAGCTACGTATCATATTCTATATAATTGCACACTTTGTATCTTATATTTTGGGTTTAATGGTAAATATACTTTCTTTATTTGGGTTCATTGGAATATATAGAACTAGGTGGTCTTTTTTTTTGGTAAATGAGTACAACTTTGAGTTTATTAGAGAAAAACCCTAAAAACTAATGAAAATAAATAAAATAAAAATATGTCACATAGTTTCCAGATACAAGTTCAGATATTAAATTTCTTATGGGAAGTCTTTAATAATTTGTAAGTATTCATCTAGCTAATGGAAAAATGGAGTGTTAATGTTTACTTCGTGCTTATATCCGTATCATATCCATTTGTCCTCGTATTCAAAATTTACTGGTGTACGTTTCTTTCTATCTGGTTGTCTCCATTCTCGTTTCATGCATGTATATGATTTTTTTTTTCTTTTTCTAACCAAAGTATATTCAAATTAGTGACTCGTAAAAAAATATGAAGACGGCATCACACCCAATTAACATCTGAATGGTAGCACCCCTAGTTTTCAAACAAAATACATTGGATACTGTACAAATTGCAAAACTTCACCAGCTAATTCCCAGCGTCAGTTATTTGCGTTATCAATCCATAGAAGAGGGGGAATTTTTTGTTTTTGAGATCACTGCCCTCGTTCAGAGAGAAGCAGCACTGTACAAAGTCAGCGGACATCACAAGAGCAACGTCCCCGTTTAGAGAGGAGCAGCACCGCGCTCAGCCAGCAGACACCACAACAGCAATCGCCAAGTGCACGTATCACCACCACATTGGATATTCATAAAAAAATAATAGTTTCAGGCAATGTGTTGCAATGAAACTTAAAAAAATAAAAATTATTTCAAAATTACAAAAGAATACTCTAAAAATATTAAACCCCATTAAGCCTAGAACTTCAAAACAAATTCAGCACTTCACCCTAACACAAACATTGGATACAAATTGTCACGCTTAGGATACTTTATGATGAGGACTCCCACAACATGCGCATGGAGAAATATGATTGGGAATTTTACATAAAGGGCCAGAACCTAGCAGGCAAAAGAACAATTTAATCTTTTTACCCCTACAAAGAAAAATGAAAATGAAAATCATGTGTACATCAACTAGCATCCCCACAAAAGAAAAAGCACAGTGAGAGAGAGAGAGAGAGAGAGAGAGAGAGAGAGAGAGAGAGACGGTTGTCCTAATTTATCCTAACATTTTGCCTTGTCTTGATCATTCGCTTTAGTGCTGCCAGCCAGAAGTTACATTCATCCCAATCGCTTGTGGTCAAGACCACCTGTCACCATAAAAACCTCCAGTCAGTCACTAAAAGGATGTAAACAAATAACATCGGACAAATTAGACACGATTTTTGGCCCGTGATGACATAATACATAGTATCCAGGCTTTCAAAGTAACATGTCAGTTAAAAAGCACAGTGAGAGAGAGAGAGAGAGAGAGAGAGAGAGAGAGAGAGAGAGACGGTTGTCCTAATTTATCCTAACATTTTGCCTTGTCTTGATCATTCGCTTTAGTGCTGCCAGCCAGAAGTTACATTCATCCCAATCGCTTGTGGTCAAGACCACCTGTCACCATAAAAACCTCCAGTCAGTCACTAAAAGGATGTAAACAAATAACATCGGACAAATTAGACACGATTTTTGGCCCGTGATGACATAATACATAGTATCCAGGCTTTCAAAGTAACATGTCAGTTACATGTTTCTGAATGTGCTGAAGGTTAGCAAATTATAGTATATAAAAAGAACTGTAGGAATTATTTCATTCAAATAAGCCACTAGATCATATATCCTATAGAGGTTCAAAAAATAGGCATTCAACACTGCACACATAAATTATACACTATATTTCTTATACACGATATTTTATACCCCTGAATTCATCTTGATCAACCACATGTCGAAGCAACCTTTGGCTCAAGAAAACTACGTTATAAGCAGTCAAGGAAGATATAGTAATTAACTTAATGGACGTGATAGCCCTCAACATAACTGAGTGGAAGAGTTGGAGTTATGTAGACGACCCCAAATTTTGGGATGAAAGCTTTGTTTGTTGTAATTCACCGTTCATATAACCAATGATCAAATTTTATAAGACCCTGTTTGCTTGGTCGTGAAAAGTGCTGGAGCAACACTGCTCACTATCTCAGAGCAACCTAGAGAGTTCATATTCTCCAAGTTTAATAATGCATCCACTGAATGATGATTTACCACTCACTGACTTTTCATTACATCTCACTGCTGCACTGATTAATATAAAAATATTAGTTCCAAGCTCTCAGTATATACCTGGATATGCAAGGCTCCAGCAAAATCCCTGGAGTCCAAAGCTTGGCAGAGCTGGCTCAGCTTAGCTGCAGCATTCGGAGATATATCCCCACTATTCAGTTTTGCGAACAGTGCCCCAATTTTCCGTGAGTTGTCCTCAATTTCCCGTTTTTTAGATGGGTTTGCATGTGAACCACCGAGTGCTTCTGATGACTCATGGTAAAGTCTCGTTAACGTTGTTATTACGGGCTTTAGCTCAGCTGTAACATACAAAAAGGTGAGAAAAAGTGAGTTAACAGCGTGTACATGCACGTGCCTGCACATCCACAAAAATGAATTCCAGAAAACAGTATGCAATTTATATCAACAATTCTTGCATGCCACAGAATTATAAACACCAGAATAAAATAAAATAAAAAGATAGACAAATTTTGCAAAAGAAATTAAGAAAAATCATGAAAAAGAAAAAAAACATATTCATTCAGTATGAAGGTGTTTTTTTATTCTCTTATGAAAATTATTTCCGAGAACCAGACATGTGGTTGCTTGTGAGTACCAGGCACATTTGAAGTATCCACAGTTTGCACGGTTGGTGGAGGAGCTGGAGGAGCAACAACAGCACGCGGTTGTGCTGGCTGAGTAGGACTGGAGGGCTGTGCAGGACTGAAACCAGGCCTCTGCACAAAACCTGGATTTGCAGGCATAAACCCCTGAGGTGCTGCTGTAGGAACCACAGCTTGGGGAAAGTTATGACCAGGAATTGAGCCTGGATGCGGTACCCCAAAGCCATGAGCAGGTGCGGGTGGACCAGATTGGTGAATGGGATTGCTTGTTCCCTAATTCAGAAGGAAAAAAGTGAAGGTTCATAAAAGCATTCAATAAAGTCAAAAGTGATTATATGTCCTGAGTTTACGAATAGACAAACCGGATATAAGTGAGACCTCAAGCTTGGCTGCTGAAATTGATCCACGTTTTTAATAGGAGTTGGTGCTGCCGGAACAAATGGCTTCACCATAGGCTGCACCTGAGCTGGAGGAGCAGGAGTATTTGTCTAAAAAACACAAAATACCAGATTTGCCAAAGAAATATAAAACATAAGTGATAGAGTAATCAGCAGTAAAAGGAACTTAATAGATACAAAGAAAAACTATAGAAAGAAAAAGATACTGATACACGTTCACGGAATTAAAAACAAAGCAAAGATGAACAAGAAGGAATCAGGGTAAATTTTTTAACTAACCAAGAATTAAGATGCAACACAAAAATATCCTTATAACAATTGCAGTCAATGTCTTCTTAGCCTAGATTGTATTATCGAAAAGCCTATAATAAATGATGAATCCACACCATATATCCTAGTGTATATTTTTCACATGCAAATGAACAAGAATTAATAAGTTAGCATCAAGCTCAATACTGACTCCACCTTCAGTATTTAATCAGATATATAAATCCTAAGCTAATAGCAGCCAGAAATCATATCAACAGATATCAAAAGTCATCAATGTAATATAGACATGTCATTCTAGTCCCAAGGGAAGTAAAAAACCACAGAAAGTTCAAAACAACTTTATTGATACATAATCAGCAAAATGAACTCTCTGATAAATAAGTAGTTTCAATCCTATAGCTCATTCAGCAGAAATACCTGAACATGGGGCACCTGCGATGGGATAAACATTGGCTGCTGAGGTTGATATTGTGGTGTAGGTATGTATGGTGTGTGTTCGATTGGTGGTTGCCCCAATTGCATTGGCTGATATCCTTGATAGGTATTGGACACCGGATAACCATCACCATATGAATGAACATGATTGCTCTCTGATGGCTGTACTTTGTCCTATTATAGAGCAAATGAATCATAAGCCTCATAAGTGTGGCAGTTCATTACAATTTATCAAAATTAAAAGCAAATCCAACAATCCTTGAAAGTGCTAACCTGATAGTATTGTTGTGAACTGTTAACAATACCATAACTAGATGTCTCAGCACCGTCGACAAAATCAGCTTGATGTGTACTGCTCCCATAAGACAAAGTGTGGGCAGCTTCTCTTTCTGCAGATGTGAAGAATCAATTTCAATATATCATATCAGAAGATACATTAAAAATAATTATGCCTTGCAGCTGATGCTGATTACAAATGATCTAGCTACTTTGCTAATGAAGTATAGTTGAAACCAACTGGCTGTGCTAAAACTAACCAGAAAGCTAAAACGGGCAAGTAATTTTATATAGTATGCTCATGATACGTTACTAGAAATGGTATGTGGTCGTTATCAGCAAAAAGATGAGGCTGTTTAGATCTATGAAAGGTTTTTTTAGAGGTCGTATATCATTGTCCTTCGCAAGGGTTGGTATAAAGGCTGGTGAATGTGCTTCTTTCATCGGATTATGAAACCATCTTTCACCGGTCGCAAGATAAAAGACCATCAAACTACCTCCAAACATTGATGAACTATACAACATGAATAGTTCAATTATGAAGTCGTACCCATGTTGGATACTATAAGACTCATGTGGGACACCAACACTTCCTTGAGCACTCCTAGGATATACATATTGTAATTTGTACATCTTAATTAAGGACATCTATTGGACACTTCTTGGATTCATTCTAAATTCTTATCCAGTTCTTTGTTTATATTACATCAATAGTTCAATTATGAAGCCATACCCAGTTGGACACCATGACACTCATGTAGGACACCAACACTTCCTTGAACACTCCTAGGATATACATATTGTAAAATTGTACATCTTAATTAAGGACATCTATCAGACACTTCTTGGATTCATAATAAAATTCTTATTCATTTCTTCGTTCATATTACTTTTTTTTAACTTCCAGTTAAGAAGAAAAAAATCATCAAAATTTTTACTTCTATTATGCTATAACAAATTTGGATATGTCCAATTATTCAGTAGAAAGTTGAAAGGCCAATATAAGCAGCTAAACAGCATGCCAGCTTCTGGAGCAATTACACTTGCATAACTACAAATGAAAAGGTGAAAAAGGAATGATTAGTTGCATGTTTTCTTATACTAGTTCTTGTGCACGTGCAATGCACGTCGTATTTTTTTATTTATTTTCTTACTATAAAATAAGTCGGATTCATTTTGAGTTAAAATCTATAAACATGTATTATTACATTTGCCATGAATTTTATTTAAACATTTTTAAAAATTTTATGAAATAGATGAGTAATTTCTAAAATCCCTTGGGGGTAGGAATAAACAACTAATAATTTTGCAGTGGAAGATAAGGGAACGTAGTACATTCTTAAGAATTATTAATCTTTACTTAGTTTGTTATAATGATAGGATCTCATTATTAGCTAACTACAAGGCTTAGTACATTTTTATTATTGGATGTTCAAGGCATGTTGAGGACCAATGTGAGCCATCATCGCAATGAATGTTATACAATTTAAGTACAAAGAAAAAAAGAAGGTTGATCAATAGTGTAGCTAGTGAGGAGAATCTCCAACAGCTTAATTTGGTATGTGGATTTATAATTGATAGAGATGGAGAATGGTGGTTTTGAAAATAGTGGGTGTGTGTGGGTAATTAATATGATTTTTGTTAGTGTGGTTATTTTTGTTCATTTTTAAGATATCTGCGGTCCTGCGGATATATATAGCTATAACATTGATACTCTTTTGGTTTTGTGGAAGAGTTTGGGTGTTAAAAAAATTAAATTATCTAATAGGGTTAAAGTAGGATTATATAAATTAAGCCCATACATGAAATTTGTTTTAACCAACACTCATGTGTAAATATTACAATTGGGATTGATATTTAAGATATGTGTGAGATTCTCTTTGATTTTTATACAAACAGTATCTAATCTAATCTATGCGATCTGATTTGAAATAGGAGAATTAAACTATGTGATTTGAAAAAAAAGATCAAACATACAATATAAGTAATTGCTTTAAAATAATCTAATCTAATCTAATAAGAAAAAATAGATGAAAATGATATGAAAATTGTTGCAATTTCATAATTCATAAATTTTAAATAATCTAATCTAATCTAATAAGAAGAAAATAACAAAAGCACACACCTCTTGAAGGAGATGAAAGTGCTATAAAAATTATTGTAATTTTTTATCTAAAAAATATCAAATATATAATATAATTAATTGCTTTAAAATAATCTACTATAATCTAATTAGAAGAAATAGATGAAAGTGTTGTGAAAATTGTTGATATTTCTTGGTATGAAAAAAAATTAAATATTCAATATAATTAATTGCTTTAAAATAATCTAATATAATCTAATAAGAAGAAAATAACAAAGGTATATACATGTAGAAGGAGATGAAAGTGCTACGGAAATTGTTGTAGTTTCTTGGCTTATAAACATTGGTATGTGATGTTACATGTGAGAAGATAACAATTGTAAATAGTCCTATTTAAATAATAATGGTATAATTAAACTTTGATTTATGCAGTACTGTGAATTACTTGAATTTTAGTTGGTGAGAGATTGTCACGTTGTGTCCTCATATCGCAGCCGTTTGTTTTAATTTTCCTTTTTTATAATTTTCAGAATGATTTTCTCTCTTTAATTTGTTTGGTGGATTTTGCAAATCCCACGTTCACATTATGTACATTTGTAGGTCTGCGTTGTTCCGGTGTTCGACCTCTGGGGCGGACATTATTTGTCTCACTAATTTGCTTGATTTTTTCATATATGTCATTCATCTTGTATATATTTGTAAATTTGGCATTTAATCATTTCATTCAAGTTTACATTTTAATTTAAACTATATCTTTATCTTCATATTATGTATATCCAATAAGAATTCATCAATTTATCAACTTCCTCTTACTTAATGGATTAGTATTTGAATTTTAAGGGTATTTTTGTCTACTAAAAGATTTTTCAGAACTCGTACTTTTAAAGGGAGTATGATGTTAGTTCACTTCTTGATAGGATGCAGAACTACTTTGATTTTCTAAAACCTGAAAATAAATTAATTTACCAACCTATAGCTTATACATGTATCACATGTGAAGAAAACATGGAAATGGAGGATTTCTACATTCGAGATCTTGATTTATGAAAAAATAAATGACATAACTTGTTGCATCTACCCAAAAAATTACTATGGTAACTGTGTGTGCATCATGAACAAAAGTAATATTTTATCTTCTGATAAGGTGCCATCAAATAAATGGTCTTATGTTCGCAATTCAGAAACCCAAAATGAAGGTGTTTTCCGTATAAATATCTTTAGAATACCAAACCGATATAATGGATTGCTTTAGTTTCACTACCTGCTGCTGAAACTGCAATGCGATCACGCAGGATGGCAAACTCATGAGAAGATTCTTCTGAACCCAAAAGTTTCAAATACTCCATTGCTGTTGTGAGGAGGCCCTGACTAGCAAGAAGTTCAGCATAGTTCTCAACAAGTTTTGACAGAGATGCACTAAAACGCTTCTGTCCTGTTGCAAGGGCGAGGACAATCGTCTTTTCCATTAAATCCTATGTAAATGCAACAGAATTTGTCAATCTTCTGATAACAGAATAATAGCTGGGAGATGGGACTACTTAAAGGCAAAGTTCCACCTGAAGTAAATCAACATAGGATTTTCCATCATGCTCAGATTTCAGGCAGCGTGACCAAATTTCTACAGTTTTGTCAATATTTCCAGCACAGATATAACAGAGAGTTGCAGCAAGTGTGTTGCCAACAGTCATCAATCTTGCAGCAAGGGTATCACATAGAACTGTCCATTCCTCTTGTGCAAACTGTTGATCAACAACATTATCAATAAAACAGCATTTTCATCACCATTGACAGAAAAAAAAGACAAATACACAAAAAGCAAGACAACCACAACATGACAAAAAATTATCCACAATTGTTTCTAAATTTTAAGGAAAATTAAATGCAATTAACATAACTTTCCATATAAGTTCAAAATAGTTTAAACTATTTACTAGCATAGCCAAAAAACTTTTCATTAAATGTTAAACTACAACATTGACAAAGCATAAGTGCTGAAATCCTAACCAGACATTATTCCTCTTTAAAGATTAGAAGAAAGCATTCCCACTCAGGTGCATAAACCTTTAAAAATAAAAGAATATGTAAGAAGACCATCATATTGCAAGATATTTTAACAGTTATAGTTACTGTCGCATACTATCTCTTACAGGCATCATATTGATCTCACTTCGACACTTGATGGGGGTGTGGATACCATGGTGGAAAAATTTCCCTCGTGTAACTAACGATAATTAGTGCACAAAGAGGATTTACCACTGTGCTACAGTACCACGTACTTCTGTGTATGTGTTTTGGTTTGGGGTGAACAGGGTGAGGAGGCAAGGGAGGAGCCAGGGTGAGGATTGTTTGCAACTCAACAATTACAGGTTGAAGACCAGTTTGTCCACCCCACTCCAAAGATTAATAAGCAAACAAATAATGAAGCTTAGATTTCAAAAGAAACCCCAACTTGTTCAGTATTTATTGCAACCCTTACTTTCACAATCTAAAATGCATGATAACAAACCATACAAGATTTCAATTTTGAGTACTTGATTAACATTATAAATCTTACAGTACACAACAGAGCAAGTGTCTCTTTCCACGAGTCAAGCGGCCTAGTATTGACAAGGCTCATCAGATCATTAGTCACCATTGCAGATACAACCTGGACGTTAAAAATAAATAAATAAAATAAATAATCACACACTAAACGCTCCAATAACAAAAGCATAAAAAAACATGCTAGCTCTGGTCACCGTAATCCAACACTATACCATATGCACGAAGATAGCTTTAAAAAAAAGGATAGTGTAAATGCAAACCTTTAGATAGGGTGAGAGACTATTACTAAGATATCGATCACGAGTACTTTCCCACAACGAGGGACCCCCAACATGTGCAATAACCAGAGCATCAGCCATTCTGTTTGCTGCCATGCACTGTGAAACTGCTCCCTTGTAGTCCCCAACTACCAGAGAACGTTGGATACTTCCATCTATTGAAGGATCATTAATTTTTAATTGCTCCTCAGGCTCTTTGTTTATTTGCTTATCTTTAGGAACTTCATTGTCTTCATCAACAGAGTCGTCAATAGAAGATTGGGGATTGTTAAAGAAATCTTCCCCATTGTCGATGAAGAATGCATCGCCTTCCACAGCTTCAAAATTTGTATGTTTACTAGCCTTGTCATCTAAATTCATACCATTAGCTAATTTGTTCCCAACTTCATCAATTGCATTTTCACTTCCTCGGTTTGGCACACTGAAACCAAGATGAGTCAGAATCTTTGTCTTCGTTGTTCCTTCTTCCTCAAACATAACCTTCAAGAAACCCCAAGTTTCTTTTTCATCCTCAGACCTATTAAAGACAAATGAAACAGAAAGCTAAAAAACTGATTGATAAGCATATTAAAAGTGATAACATTGTTATTCTGAATATCAGACATACAGGGTATCCTGAGATTTTTTCTCACATAACAATCGCAATGACACCTTTTCACCATCTCGGATTGCATTTTCAAATTCTGTTGACCGACTCACCAAACTATTTTCAGTGACCAAATTATGCACATAAACCTGTAAAGGGAAGAGAACGTGAGCTATACAAAAGAGCTTCCGAACAAAGTTAAAATTTTAGGTTTACCTCAGAACTACTAGATGGAGCACCAGGCGCTGATGGACTAGGTTGAAAAGTAACAAGCTTGCCTCCAAAACCAAAGGATGCACCCACTGGACGTTTCAACCATTTCGGAGCTCTCAACTGAGCTGAAACAATTTAGATAAATCAATTCAATGGAATAGTGATAAAACTGGTCGCATTAGGGTAAAGATACAATAAAATCCCTGTCAATATGGTATAGAAGAGCAAACTCACAAGAGCTAACTCACAAGAGGTGACTAGGCCGGAACAAAGATAACTTAAAAACAAGTTTTTGTAGTAATATATTTTAGCTATTGATGCAGAAAGACAACTTTGTATAGTAGGACTGACAAAGCAAAACTTGTACAGATTTCGGTTTTAGTACAGTACGAGAGATGCATACTGTTTTCAGTTTACACTTATAAAGATGAATCACTTGCTTCAATCGAGTGAGAATGGTCAACAATAATATGGTCGTTATGTTCTGTGGACAAGTAACAAAATTCTTATTGCAGAGCTTCATCTAACCAACGATCCAAGGTAATAAATTTGTAGCCAAGGGTAAGCATCCCATCTTGACTACTCTTGGATGTGTGTATCAAAATAGTAACATGAAATTTTGAATAGAAAAAAAAGTAAAAAGCAGGATATGATTTTTCAGCATTCTTATGCAAGTTAAATTTTACTTGATTCGTTATTCAGATTGGTAGTCAATTAGTTATTGTTATATACTGTCCTCTAACAGAAATGCAATCAATACACATAATTAGTCCCAGAGATACAATGGAGTTTCCGTCAGCATATTTCCCAACGACTTAAATCAGGAGTAGACGGAGTAAGTTTCATTAAGTTATTTTTTTTCATGTAAAATTTAAAGGCCTAACATAATAATTGTCACAAGGCCAACATGCTTGACACTTAAGGTTCATAAAATGCTACAACAGAGCAAAAGAGTTTGTTTATGTAAAGTGATTATGATCTCCAAGATCTTCTAAATGTAAGTGAACGACCGAAATATATGCATTATTGAGGCCATTCCTAGAAGTGAAAATATTTACAGCTGAAACTGGTACAAGTCCCTGACTCCCTGTCCATGATCTTTCAACGATCCTTATTTTCCCTCTTTCTTCTCATTCTTGCTTAGGTTATCACCCCTTCATGTTACATATTTACCACCATTTCCACATTTAAATATTCATGCAAACTTCTATTCTGATCTTTAAACTAGTCCAATTTCTAAATGATAAGTAGATTTCCCTTTGTTAACCATAACATGTTTCTTCCCCTCCAAACATCACATATTCACTTTCTTTTAATTTGGTAAATTGAATGCCAACATTTTGACGATAATCCCAGGTTTCTAAAGAAATAGTTCTTAGCACTTGAAACTGTTTTTGTTCTATTAGTTGGTTCTTCGTACTTGAAACTCTTGTTGGATTTCGACATAAGGGTTCCAAGATTTAGCTTTGGACAATGTTTTAAATGTCGGATGTCGGGTTCATGTCGGACGGCTAAAATTTATGTCGGATAGCAGAAATCAGGGATGTCAGGAGACATGAAAAAAATATCGTATTGCCATATCAGATGGTGTGCATGTGTGTAATATAAATATCATAAATAAAATCTAAATAGACTTATTCTATTGTCTAAACATATAAAAGAGTAAATAACTTATAATGCTTAGGGTTGATGTTGAAGAAAAAGGGTGAGAATTCCGATATTAGCGGTTAAGAAGAAAGAAGATCGCTCCATTTGATGTCGAAGGAATAGCTCGGAGAAGAGACCAATGAGATGTTGAAGGGGAGAGAGAAGATGAGCGACAGATATTACTTCGGTCTTTTTTTCCATTTCCTTAACTTATCGGTTTTTGTCTTTGGAATTAATATTAAGACAATCAAGAATTTAAACTCAAACTTGATTTGACAAACATAACCAAAAAAATAAAAAGATCAGCTAATTTTTCAGACTGAAAAATCGGCTGACATAACCGAGATATCCGCCCGACATATTCGACATATCCCCCGATATATCCGACATGAACCCTGAAAACGCAATACACATTGAACAGCTCCTTATCGTGTCGGTTGGCCCCTAAATCCGACATGTCGGACGACATTTAAAACACTACTTTGGAGCAATATAAAGTGATTTGGCTTTGCATTCAGTTACTGGAAATGGAACTATGAACCAGTTCACAAGGCAATGATGTTAACACTGAATCAGTAACCTCACCTTCATTGGAAAATGTAATCCACACTATTGCAGAGAAGTGTCAGTCGAAAAATGTCAGCACTTATTGACACAATACAATTGGCTTTAATATAATAAAAATTTATTTGTGAAAGTGTGCATGAGAATCACATTATGGTGGCACCCAGAGATAAATAAATAGAGGCACAAAGTGGCCTACCATTAGGCATGAAATAATACAGATAAAAGCATAGTAAACAACATATGAATTCAACAGTTTATTTACCTAACACCCACCTGTTTGCACCAAAACTTGTTTTAAAGCCGTATACGAAAAACTTTAAACCATATTATATTAACATTACTCAACAATTTCCAACGATAATTAACAGTCATTCTCGAGGGATATTTATCTAATAAGAGCTTTCAACTAATCATTTTCCTCTGACGTTTCAAAGGTTTCTCTTACGACAAGGGAACCGCATATAACATAGTTGTTTTTGGATAGCCAAGTTTTCTGTCATTGACGGTCCAAAATTTTCAGCTCTTGTTAAGAATTCATCAGTAGAAATTAGCCTTTAGCTACCCCAAAAATCCACATGGCTTTTTTTTAGTCTACCTCCTCTCCCTCCAAACCAAAGATATAATTTGTAATACAAATATTCTATATTTTTTTTCACTTCCAAATTACATAATAGAAAATATTTGTGCACATTGGCTGAATGTAAGGTTTAAAAATCTCATTGTGGCATTAAAATCCTAATCCATAAATGACTTTTATGTTTTATCTTAAAAATACTTCTAGTTAAATGTGGAATTGTAAAATTTCCACGAGAAAACCATGAAATATAATGAGGCATAATATAAATGAATAGATGATATCGGATGATACCAAGAGCCAGAAAAAAAACAGTGAAACAGAAAGTTACCTGGAGAAGCAAATTCACCATCACCCGCTGTCAATCTATTACAAGCCTGCAGGATACAGAAAACATGAAGATTTATGGTATGACTGTTTTAGTTCATAAAAGAAAGGGCGAAACATGTCAACTGAAGAAGAGCAACCACTGATTACAACAAATAATCTGCTTCCCCAACAAAAATTAACCCTAGTACCGTACAATCTTGCACTGTGGCACACCTCTGTTGTCAAACAAATAACATCAATTTCCACATGTTACAAATAGTAGGTTAAAAAGGAAATCACACCATGTTGTCCAATCATAACATGTGACTACCATGAACAAAAACAAAATTTTGATTGAAAATACTACTATCTTCATATTCTCATCCAAGGTCAGGAAATAAAATATCCATTCTAAGAGTGCAAAGTGATCTAACCAATATGCAGTATGTAAAGGAGAAGCTTGAGAACAGAGTCTAGTAATTGTCGAATCATGAGGTCCCTGTATCTTTGTTTTGGATATAAGAGCTTCCAAATATCACAGTTCCTTATCTTTTAGCTGTTCGCTATTAATTAGATTTCATTTCGGTGTGACTTAATGTGATTAACGTAGACGACTAATGTATTGGTAGACTGCCAAATGTAAGGCTGACTCAGAAGTACCAAATGGAAACTAAGATTTAAGCTCCATTTACTAAAAGCTGTGGTTTTGAATGCAGATCTACAGATTATAAGATGCTCAACCAGAATGTGCATACACACTGAGGATGGAAAACTTGACGAGTCAAAGTTGGGTCCATCAAGTTGATTTATAAGGCCACTGAGTCACACACGTAACTCTGGAGAGTCAACACTTGTGCAACAGGCTTGATCTCATGGTTATTGCTAACATATTGACAATTGATCCAGTCATGGAAAAGCTTAAAGCTGGCAGATCTACCAATTCTTTATATACTAGCATGTTAACTATGAAGTGTTCTACCTCTAGAGCCAAGGTCTATCTCTTACTTTAACAAGTGAATAGGGCTAAGCAGACCATGGTCTGCTTCAATCAAGATTTTGAGCAGTTCGGTTCAGTTTTTGCAATAAACCAGGTTTGGGTCGGGTTGCATTTTTCAATTGGTAGATACCAAAACCGACAACCTACCCTTTAAATTCAGTAAACACAACGCACAACTCTTCGATACAAATGCCTCTTTGCACTGTACTCAGGCCCACCATTGCTTGTGTGATGTGAAGTTAATTTTTTTGATCAAATAATGAGATGAGGATACACTCATCTTCCTCCCCTTTACCTAGGTTTCTCCCAAATCCAAAGAAACTCATTAAACATAACTCTTCTAACCACCTATTTCACTTTTGTTCTCCAACTGTTAATCTTCTTCTTGTATTTGGATCGATGGAGGAATATCTAATTTGTCATTTGCTGCCTCCATTCCTGCAGTCTCCATTCCTTCAGTTGTTTCTTTTTGCGGAGACTTGTAACAACCAGAAAAACCGAACGAACCGAACCGAACCAAATTATTTCAGTTCGGTTAGGTTCAGTCTATGGGTCGGATTGGTTTCGGTTTACTTGAATTTGGTTCAAAGCAACGAGCGACCGTTTGCTCTCCCTGCAAAGTGATAACGATTTAAGTAGGTTTGCATGGGTACTGGCATGGGTACGGTACGGACGGCAAAATTGGAAAAGAAAGGGTATATATATATTTAATATAATATATATTATATATATATATATATATATATATATATATATATATATGGAAAAGTGTTCTAATGGTTGATGTCTTCGATAATCATCTTGTCTCGGCCTAAAAATACATGATTAGCTACATTGTGGATGATCCGTACGTTGAACGTTGATTTACATTAATCTTAAAACTTCCAACACACAGTTTGGGGTAACTCATACGTCGTGACCCTCCGTCGAGCCTGTGAAAAGTTCGTATTCATTTGAAGACCGTTAAAATATGTACGAGTGGATGAGGGTCAAAATGACGAGGGTCACCCCAAACTTGGTTGTTGTGGGGGCTTTTAGGAAAAATGTAGCGATACAAATTCCAACTGGGACAGTTGGATCATCCATAATGAGATAGCTTGCGAAATCGAATGTGATTTAGTAGACTGCACGTCCTTTAGTTTGAAGTATCTTAATGGGCATCACCTTAGGAGCATTCTTCATACATCTAATATATAAATATTATATTCATTCTAAATTAATACTACCAATATATATGAGAGATATATATATATATATAATAATACTATATATATATTTGAAATATATATTATCATAAATAAATATAATATAATAGTATATAGTATAATAGGTAGATATTAGATATCGCGGGAATATCGGATGGCCAAAATTCATATCGGGTATCGGGAATATATCGAGGACATGTGATAAATATCGGAATATCATAACGGATTTTAGCATATATAGTATAATGCACTAAAATGTCATCTTAATATACTTACGGAAATCTAAGCATACAAAACGTAAATAATATATGTTTAGGATCATTAATCAACCTTGTAAAACAAATAAAAATACAAATCAGCTTTGCAGCATTTCGTTTAACTTTTTTAGGCCAAATGTCATTTGATATAATGGAAAAATCATGTTATCTCATCCAAAAATTGCCAAACATGATATATTATTTTGCGACAAGCCATATAAAAGGATATATTGACCAAGATATTAGCTGATATATCAGCAACATCGGGGATATATCGCCCAAAATACCAAACAAGTGGTAAAGAATATTTAGAGACCATATTGGTTGCGGTAAGCCCTGTAAAAGGATATATCATAGGATATATCGGGCCATGTCGGGGATATTTAATACAATGATGTTACGTATATTTATATGTATTGAAATTAATAATTTACATAAGATTAATATTGTTTTTTCATTTACATAAGATCAGTACATAAGAAATAGATGTAAAGTGTAGAATATACATCCAAGAAGTATACGAGGAGTGTTTTATATTAAAAATGTATTATATAATTGAGTATAAGCCCGAAGAATAAACATATGTATATATTCAAAAAGTGTTCAAGAAGTTTGGGTACGAGTACGTGTCAGGTACAGGTACGGATACAGCTTCCTAATAGAAGTACCCAAGTAGCATAGGATTTAAGTTTATTAATCATTTAAGCAAACAAAATTCTGAACCTGGATGTGCATACATACTAAAGCTTAAAAAGTCAAAATTGGATCGATCAACTTGATATGTAAGGCATTTACAAGCATGTTTGAGAACTTTGGATTATAATCCACTTGTTTATAATTCACAAATGGATTATAATTCAAGTGTACTTTAGTCTAGAGTGTTTAGTAAATTTAAAGGATTATATTCTATTTCCAATAGTAGAGTGTGCGGCAAATAGGTGAATTATAATCTATCATTGTTGTCAAATGACCAAAAAGGACATGGCTTAAATTTACCAAAAAATTGAGGCTTTGAAATTTCATGAAATGATGGTGGGTATATATCTTTTACTTAGTCAAATATTGTGGCTATAATCCACCAAAAAATAAGTTGGGAGCTTACATTTTGATGGATTATAAGCCGAAATAAGTCACTAGCCAAACATCTCAAAGTGTCTTATAATCCACTTTTGTGGCTTATAAGCCATCTTGACTACTTGCCAAACATGCGCTAAGTCATACACCTCTAAACCCTTGATAGCTACGTTGCATGGACACTCATGCCATGAAGCCATACCCATACCCAACATTTATCATTCTCATATCTGACACCGACACTCTTTGGAGGCCCACTGGATATATGCATGCGCTTATTTAAATGTGTAATCAATTATATAATATATTTTTAATTCAAAACACTCTGACATACACTTCTTGGACGAGTATCCTTCACATACACTGTCTAAAACTTGACCATCAGAAACTTGTTGGACAAGGATTGGATTCGTTTCAGTACATGCTCATTAAACTATGATTTTAGAGGGTCATTTACATATCTAGTTAAAAAACAAGCGGTTTTCCAGTTTACAATATGCATAATAAAAGAAATGTAAAAAATTATAGGAATTTTGATTCCCATAACATGTGACATGTAAATTATTAATTTCAATAAATTATATATGGTTGTGTCCCATACCCTACATTTTACAAATTTGCGTGTCTCATACATGTACCTGTACTCATACCCCTGCATCATAGCTCCACAGTCCACAGTCATGTAATAGGGCTCACTTGTTGAGAGCTAATCATACATTAATAATCTTCTCATTGACTTGCTTGTTAAGTAAGTTTAATAAGGTATAAATAGTTTCTTCCCGTTATAAATCTTATAGATTGAGATTACGGTTTTCTATCTTAGGGACTATTACTATATTATCTAGAACCATTTTCTTTATTTCAACAAGTGGACACAAACTTAAAATTTACAATAATGTGTTACTGCTAAAGCAAACAGAATTCTGAATGTTTCAGACTTTCAGTTTGAAGTTTTTGCTCCCTCTTCTCCTTTCACTTACCTACACCAACCAAAATTTCTTGGTATTATACTTATTGCATTATTATATAGTGTATACGTTGATAAGCCTAGTCACTTGCACATCTACATAATATGGAACTTATATAACTAGGTCATCTGTTGCCTATTCTCATATCACAAATTTTTGGAATTAGAAAATATTACGTCCATTATAAGGGCATGACTCTTTCTTGATTGTTCAATTATGTATGACTTATTGTTTCTTGATTGTCCAATTACAACTCCTAAACCTTCTTTTGCCTTCCAAATCTTGTACTTCGCCAATTGTGTGATGTATAAAACCCTTCATAGTGGTATTCAACAAGGTTACATAAAGAGCTAGGCACTGCTAGGCATTGATCCGGCGCCTAGCGCCTAGGCGGGGCCTAAGGGGATTTCTCTTTTTTTTTAATTGGAGGTGGAGGAGATTCTGTTGAAGATTAGGGAAAGCGGAGGTGTTCGGAGTCGGTGAAAGAAAGTAGAAACTACAGTGGTTGGAGGCATGGAGGCAGCAAGGGAGGAAATCAGACCATGACCTAAGCTTGGCATTCCACATAATGGTCCATGCTCCCCTAGGCGCTCCCTACGCGGGCGGCCTAAATAGCGCTTAGGCCTAGACGGGAACCTGGGGGCTCCTAGACTGCTTTTTAAAACTATGGTATTCAAACATGCTCACAAGTCACAATTCCCTTGTAAGCCAACCTGTTGTTCCTAAAAATATCACAACAAAATGTTACTGCAAAATATTACGCAATTCAATTAAGGTAAAACTAGAATCAATGCAACCTTGATGGAACAAAATCAAGAGGAATATAGAAGCAGTACCTGGATATTGTATATGCCAACTTTTACGTCAAATGAGGATGCTGATATAACGCCTGGAATTTTAGGGTACCAATGAACATCAAAATTCCAATTGGTGCTGGCTGGCAGTTCACAAACTATCTACATAAAGCCCACAAGGGAAATGACATTGTCACGAGAAGACTAAATGATGTTGTCATCAGATAAAATAAAATGGAAAGAAAGAAACAAGTGCACAAAAAGGAGCTTATGTCCTTACCTCTCCAGCAACAGTATCCCAGCAAATAGTTCGATTATCTTTGGCACAAGTTAGCAACTGTGAACTGTCATACGGACACCATGACATAGCAATCACACCTGGTTTGAATCAACATGAACAGTGAGGGGTTATCTCAGCAGATGTGAATGCATATGCATGACAACCCTGTTGCTAACTTTGGGTAACAGACGTAAACATGAGAAGCAATCACCAAAATGCAAAGACAGCATGTTTACAACAAAGAAATGGAAAATTGTCTTTCACTGATAAAGACACAATAGAAGGATAATTTGCAAATGAAGTATAAAGAAAAGTAGGGGGGGGAATGTAAGATATCAGAATAAGATACCATTATAAAAGAAAGTACTTAATTGAATCCTTACACAGCATAGAAACAAAAATATCAGTGATTAAGAAGGGAATGGAGAGACCACATGTTTAATATTATTTGCAGATATGATGTGTCAAATGGCAGCACCATGATTAGATGATCGTTGCATAGAATGCCAACCAACAAATAGTTCACATACTTCATCCAGCACCAAAAGCTTTCGATAGAAATTATCAATTTGAATTGACTCTGAAGCAATGTAATAAGTTAAATGATTTTGTATACAATTATTACTTGTCCCAAGAGTTTATATCCAGGCATCCAAGCAAATAAACACAGCAGCAAGTTGTCGACATTGATTTTTTTGAAAGCAATCACAAAGCTAAGTTGCCTTTGCTCATATAACATCAAGAAATAAGCCGTATTGAATATAGAAGCAAGTGGGAAGTAGAGTTAAAGTTTACATAGAAACTGATACTGGGAATGGGGCAAAGAAAACTGTAAATAGAAGAGACAATCACAGAAGATAATCCACCTTTCTGTTAGAAACAAAAGTGAGGAACATACGAAAGAATCCAACCATCCATCTCATATACCCCCACCCTGATTACTTTTTTCCAAGTCATAGGAACATTTTATCCCAAGACAGCACGTACTAGAAACGCATCAGCTACCAAACAAAAAGAAAACAAAATGCAGTGACCACTAAGGGGTCGATAAAACGAACCTTTTGTATGGCCCACAAATTCTCTTAGTGGAGATATTGTTTTCCTGACATCCCAAACCTATCAAGAAATTTGAAGTAAAGAGCTAAATATAACAGCTATGGACACCAAAATTATCTAAATTAAATAGCAATGTTAATACTATTGAATTATATTAATTACTAAACTTGCTAAAAAATATTACTCGAAGTGAAGGTGAATTGTCATCATCAGATGCAATGATGAGTTGGGTGGACATATCAGGATTCCATTGCAAAACAGAGCAACTCCTTCTGGTGGAATCTGAAAAGCTGCAACAAAGAAGAAAAATGTCACCAAGCTTATTAGAGCTGTCACATTTAGTACTTCAACCTGGAAATACACCAGCAATAAAAACGCTCATTTCACTCCGGAATAAACGGCTTGCCTTGTCACTGGTTTCTGTTGCTTCAAATCCCAAACGACTTTATACATAGAAAAACAAAGGAGCTTCAGTTAGTAACTATCAAAATATGTACTTAAACTTACCGTACATGTTCATAAAAACTCTATATATAGAAAATAAACGATTTGGTAACTTATCATAATATGCTAAACTTATCATGAATGGAAAGGAAAAAGGAGAACGGGAGGGGGGGGAAATATTGCTTTACCAGTCATTCCATTGTAAGAACTAGACGCTAATATATGCTGAAATTTTGGATTCCACGACACAAACGAAACTTCGGTTTGAGCACCAGATCCAGCACTCTGTTACATCAGACAGAGAAAGACCAAGACAGACAGAGAGAGAGGTTAGTTATCATAATTTCCATGCATAATTACGGTGATATATTGGAGATAAGTTTTGCAATTTAACAAATAATGCATTAAAAACTAAACTGATGATGTAAGCAGAGATCTTGGCTCAAAAAATAATTAAAAAAACAAAAAATCATATTCATCCATCATGATGGGATGGCACTAGATGATCATTCCTTAGATTGTAAGTTTGATACAGAGAATTGCATTCAATTGTTCAAGGTGCAGATAAATCTTACATGCCAAATGAGCACATTCTCCTTACTGCATAGAGAACCATATGCATAGAGAACAAGAAGATTGCGCTAGCTCCCAGTCAACACATCAAAAGAAGATTAAATTTCTAGCAAGACAACCAACAAAACTGTACTAACTTTATGACTGGTAAAGTTAATTATCCGCATTTTAAATGACGTTTTTTATGAATGGTACTGGAGTTCTAATTGTTTTTGTTACTCCCATGCCCCAAGAACAAGCTTCAGTAAGGATAACCCTTAATTGTTCCTGATTTTTAAAGGTGGGTGGGGTTTAGTAATGTTGGAGAATTAATATAAAAAAGTTTGTTCCTAGCATAAAATATATGGTCTAGTAAATAACAGCTCTAATAAAAACTTAAGCAGAAGATGGAGATATGAATGACAAGCTCACAAGGCAGAGACAAAGAGAGATCGAGTAAAGATAAAAGACCTCACTCTAAATTGTACATCAAAACAAGCCATGGATGAGACCATGCTTTCCAAGGATCGCAGGAGTACAAGTGCAATGAAATTAATATTCCAGGAGATTCGATTCAATAAAAGACTGACACTCTTATGGTTGGATTAATTATATATCAAACTACTCTGCAAAGACCAAAAAGATTAAACAGAAGTTTAAGAAAGTTCCATGATGACTTACTCCAAAATTAGGATTACGGCAGTCAGAACTCGAGAAACTAAGAAGTAGCATCATTATCTAATATCTATATATCAAGTGACGGGATGTTAACCAACTCGACTGCACTTATGATCTTATAATATAGTCATAGTGAAATTCCAGTGGAGCACTTCTTGTATTCAAGGGTGACCCAAAATAAGAGGTTTATTAGACAATTTTCCCTGCACTAACTGCAAGAAGGAAGCAATAAAGAGAAGCGTTGCTTCAGATTAAAACCAAGTCATACAAGTCAAAGGACGAGGAAAACAATGAAAAGCCCTGCCACATTTTTTTAGTAAGGAGGTTGCTAGAAATTTGTGGTATTTGGACAATGAACGTAGTGACCACATGATATGTGAAAATAGTATCATCTAGGTTCCTGAAAAATCAGGTGCAAACAGGAAACAACAAGAAACTAGGAGCAACTGGAAATGGCTCTGTAGCGATTAGCCCAATCGAGCCGACTTTTAAGAATGTGTGTGCGCCATCTTTTTAGCAAAAATTCTTATTATCTTGGAGCAATTGATGCAAAGAGATTTATGGGTTGGTAATCTTCACATAGACGATAAAAATCTTCACATAGAAGATAAAAATCTTATCATAAGTGTATCCTCTTATCTAGCCACATAAAAAATGTTTCCAAAGTCAATATGTAAAGTCAGTATTTTTTGAAATTGCAGAAAATTGGACTGAAACTATAAAAATACCAAGGAAAGATGGTACAGGAAAGAACTAAACCCTTGGAAGTCATACGAAAACATCAAGCTAAAAGATTTTTTTTTCCAAAAGGAAACAGGAAAACTGTTACAAGGTCCCCATAAATTGAAGAAGAAAAACTTTGTCACGTCGAATTAAAATCAGAAATCCTTCAAGATGGCTTTTCTAATCAAGAGCAACATCTGTTCATGAGGGTTTCATTTATGAAGAATGCCAATGTCCCAAGTAGACCAAAACGTTCTTGAATAATGAAGGGATCCATGTCCCAAGTAGACATTGATACAAACAAACATTGAAAGGTCAGTTGTGGAAATACAGATAACAGGCTGATCATTATTCATTATTTGGTCTGCAATTAGCACGTTTATCCATTATTCCTCCCTTATAAAGGATCTATGTGAATAACAACAGCATTAGTGCAGGTCATTCAACTGTTCGCAACAAAAAAAACAGAATGGAAAGAAATCTCATAGCAAATGGTACTTTTCTGGAGGCAGAAAACCACAGAACCGTACAAAGGATACTTCTAGCATTGGAACTAACCTGATAAGCATATAGCAAACAAATATGATTATGATAATTCTAAACAAATATATAATCATTTCTTAATTGAACACTAAAAACATCTAAGATTCTACGTCCATCATGTAATTGATAACACATAGTTCTATCCATACCTTGAGAGAGGGGTACAAAGTTGGCTCTGGAGGTTTTGCTAGATCCCAAATGCGGAGTTCCCCTTCATCAGCCCCTGAAGCAAGCAGGTTAGGTGAGAGTGTGCTGAATTCCAAACCCCGAACCTGCAACACCGAAAAAATTGCATATGTCACTGAAAAATAACAGAAAAACATCTCATAAAACATCCAGACAAAACTTTTTAGTGAATTACCGGGCCTGTGTGCTTCTGAAGTCGAACCACAAAAGAACCCTCCTGATCTTCTGATCTGCACAATGGTAATAACTACTTTATATCAGTTTATAAGAGATGGTTAGTTGGTTACTAATCAAATTTGGAAGGTGGAAAACTTTAACAATTTACCTCATGAAAATGGCATAGGTTAACTCAACATATAGAGTGAAACATTTCAAATAGGAACAAATGTCATATACCAAGCTTTTTATCCGGATATTTAGAGCGTAGTAGACACCAACTCATTGCAGGGGTTTTGACATGCTGAAATTGAAACCAAGTCTAATAATTTCTCTTTTAAGTATTATTTTCAATTGCCCTAATCCATCTTCTCGTGTAATATGAAACTTTAGCAAATAAAAGTTGTTTTCCTGTTCATGTAAGCTTGAGATGTGCTGCATTGATGAGCTTGTTTATACCAAATGAGCCCCCCCCCCCCCCACCAAAAAAAAAATACTCAAAGAAAATGATGAAACATAATGGGCTAACCAATGAGAACAATGGCATAAAAAAAACCATACTTTTAGTTGTCATAACCCCGAGTGGGACCAACCAACTGCTAAAGCACCCTTTCTTACATCACATATCTCATATATACTAGAGATGCCACAAGCAACTTTTCAACAAGTTAAATGTGAATATGCAAACAAGAACATGGATAGTCTTAATAGTCTTCCATCACCAACCAACTATGAGTAATGTGATATTGCAATATAGTTGCCTGCATTATTCTTTCTGCACAACCATCATGAAATCATACTTTTGTCACACAATCATACATCTTCTCTATTTTTCCTAAAACTATATTAACATATAGTGCTCCTAGCATGCCTTTCTTGCATTTAGATCCCAATATTCATCACTGTAGAAACTCAAAAATTAGTGCAAAGTGCACATCCTTACAAATAAACATTTCACGAACTAGAAGTAAGATTACTTTATGCGCTTCACATATCATACTATGTTTGTCTGGATAACGTATACCTTAGTATGTGCTAGATGGTTGTGTTGCTAAGCAAAACGGACCATAAATACTAAATGTAAGCCACTTCCTTGAGAAGGTTATGAACACTTCCCCTAGCCAGTAGGACCTGCATGATGACTGGAACACCTTGATATGGGCTTTTAAACATTGATCCCAAGTAGTTGGAAGTCTAATTTGCAAAGGGTAAAAGGTCAACTTGGTCCCCGTACTAAGGCTTGATTCTCAAATTGGTCCCCACACTTTCTTTTTTCTAAACTTAGTCCTCATAACCCTTGTTAAATGAAAACTTAGTCCTACCTTAACTATATGTTAAAAATTACATTACATAGGCCTTAAGGACAACACTACCCCTTATGCATCCATAAAGAATAGCAAAATTTAATAGCAGTATAATGGATGGGAGGCTCGTCATCAAGTTCACAGACTTCATCAAAGACGCTCAAGTTATGAAATTGGGAACTCATCAAACCGAAGCCGCTGGACTTTTCATCAGGATTTCATGCTTTACTTCATCGTTTTCTTGTGATAGAAATGTAGCCCGATGGATTGTGAGTAATAATACATTTTTTCAGTACAATACATCATAAATTCCAATGCTTCAAGCTTTTCCGACTTATCAATTCTGCAAGCTATTAATGCAACCGAACTTACTCTTCAGTGACATAGTTAGCTTGCTTGCATTGATAACTTACAAAATTGAGAGGTCAGAAAGCTTGAAGGATAACCAAAATTCGCAATCTATAAATTCAATAAGTAGTCTCACTTAATTCAATTAAAAGATCCTAAAACCATAAAAAAAATTAGAGCAACAGTGTAACCAACACAGATCCTACGACATCAAGTTGATCCTAATTCAATAACATAGTCTTAACATCCACAAGTTTGATAAAGGTTTAAGGATGCTGATTTAAGGGAAAAAATGATAATCTAGTTAGTATAGAGAAAGATAATTAGCTAGTCTGTCACGTGATGTTTACATTAATTCCTATATGTGATTTTGTGTTTGAAAAGAAGATGTCAGAGTTATGAAATTGTCATCAGCTTCACTTATAAAATGGAAGAATTTGTTAGACCTGCATTTGCAATTAGAACAATTTTTTAAAATAGGCCGATTTAGTTTTTTATTTTTCAAAATCGACCTTTTTTTTTATTTATCAAAATCGACCCGGTTTTGTGATTAGCAGGCTAATCACTATCCTAAATAGTCGGGGTTGTCAACCCCGACTAATTAGGACATTAATTTTTAGGGTTTAAGGCCTTTAATTAGGGTTTAACACCCTCCTAAATAGTCGGGGTTGGCAACCCCGACTATTTAGGATAGTGATTATCCTGCTAATCATAAAACCGGGTCGATTTTGATAAATAAAAAAAACGGTCGATTTTGAAAAATAAAAAGCTAAATCGGCCTGTTTTGAAAAATTATTCTTTGCAATTATGTACTCGTAGGTCACCCTCACGCTACCCTGGCATCTGCTACAATCGCCTAGCCACAAGTTATATTCAATAATTTGTTTATAAAAAGCAAAATAATTAGTTAATAACGGGTTTTCAAAACTACAGGACTTATATTGTCATATCATCGAGGGTAGTATGTCAGTGAAGGCAATGTGGTCATAAACATAAAGCTAACACCTAAATACTAACGGATGTTAAAAATGTCTTAGTTTGTAACTAAGGTGTGGTACGAGGAGTAAGTTGAGAAAAAAGAAAGTATGTGGATCAACTTGAGAATGAAGACTCAGTACAGAGACCGAATTGGCCTTTTAGCCATTTGCAAATAACAAATTATCATGTAAACTCCATACATCTTTCTTAACTGCAAAAATCAAAATAAAGTTATTCAATACCACAGGCTGATTTTACTTGTGAATCTATAATCAGATGTAGCCTTAAGACACTAAAGCCTGGTGACAACCGACAATTCTCTGCAACGATTTCAATAAAATAAGTGAGAAATTTGAAGGTGGGTAAATGGGAACACCAGTCATTTCACAATAAACAGTTAAACTTAGCTATAAGTTTATGACATTTGAGTTTAGAAGAATCAGCTGCAAAAGGTTAAGCCATATATCAAAGTGAAACGGAAAAAAAAAATCTGTAGGATATCATACTAGCAAAATTTGGTTCCTAACCCCATAATAAGGATTCAGTACTCTCAATAATCATAAACATCCAAGCAGAGCAATGGAGCTCAGGTTCATGAAAGATTTGACAAAAAATTGCAACTAGCCATCAACCCTGCTATCAGAACAAAGTCTTGCTTGCCTTTAAATGTCAAAAGCTTTGAAAGCATATCCCAGCTAAGCTCAATTTTATTGCTAAAAATGATTTAACCCTTTAAATGTCAAAAGCTTTGAAAGCATATCCCAGCTAAGCTCAATTTTATTGCTAAAAATGATTTAACCCCTAAAGGGGGAATATTACACAAGACATATCCCAGCTAAGCTCAATTTTATTGCTAAAAATGATTTAACCCCTAAAGGGGGAATATTACACAAGCAATTACCCCTAAATATCAACGTGTTTAAGACTAAAAAAGGAATGTAATCAACACATCAATTGAAGTTCCTATATCAGGTTTAAATTAAAAGAAAAGGGCTTTTGTCCTATTAGACTACAAATTCTTTTTGAATCTTATATTAGGCCCCCTCGTTCCAAATCTATTAAGTTATTTTCAAATAACATGACTTAAAAATAAGATGATGTCATGTGGGACCCCAATTCTTTTCTAACTTTATATTAGGCCCCCAAATTTTCATATTTATTAATTATTATTAACACCCGAAGTATATATTAATTCCAAGGGTTAAATTATACTATGGTAACAACAATGGATGAAATCCAAACTGAGGGTGATATTTAGAACAATTTAATAGATTTTGGGCTGTAAATTAGAGAAAAAGGTCCCTGCAACTATCCTGAAACTCTAAAGTTGTTGCGAGTGTTGATATTACAGTTTTATAGTTTAATATGCCCCCACTGCTTGAGGTCCCCTTTTATGGGTAGAACCTGGAGTAAGATAGCGGCAAGCTCTATCAACCTTTTTAAAATTTCACTTTAAATTTGTACCGCCTGGAAATTGAACCTAGTTTGCTGTAATATCATGTGAGATGTCTCTGCCACAGTCCGAAGTTGTGATGATGGTCGAGAATTTTAGTTTCATATTCTTGTAATTAGACATTCCGTGGGTATTCTATTCAATTAAAAAGAAATTTGGGCCTAATATGGCAAAGCCCTATAGAAACGGAACAAATCAGTATCCTTATCTTACCTGCGTTTCCCTTCTGAAGAAAGATACATTGATCGACAAACAAATTGTAACAAAAATCATGTAAAACAATAATAATTTCCAGCTAAACAATGTCAAGCATCATTTATACACAAAATTGAGAAGCAAGATTCATCTATTTCCAATTCTAGCAGATCTACGCATCACAGATTCCAGAGAGAACGATCACACTAATTCATGCCAAAAAATCAACAGATCTAAAGGAAAATTCAGTAAATCAAGCAAAACTAGTCAATTACCCGATCAATTTACGAGGATTCCAAACACCAATACTCCCATCGCCCAATCCGCCAGCAACGAGACCTAACGAGTAGTCCTCCGACGCCGGCACGGGCTTCGACCACGAGAGGCGGTTGAATCTCTCAGTGCTAGGGCAAGCCCCTGCGACAGGGAGATCCTGGGCGTCTGATTGGAAATCAAGCTTGAAGATCTCAAGATTGGCGATGGAACTGAAGGATAGATCGACGGCGCCGTCCATCGTGCCGGCGGCGAGGTAGGGAGCATCGGGGGCGAAGGACACTAGGGCCGATCGCGCGGCGCTCTTGATGCACGCCATGGGAGATCGAGAGAAGAGAAACCTAAAGAGAGGGGATCAGATCTATGGCTTCTTTTTTTTTAATTGTTTTTTTCTTTTTCCTTTTTTCTTTTTTAGAATTGGGTGTTTTCTGCGTTATTTTTTCACTACTCGGAGCTTGATGGAGATTAAGAGCTTGTTTGGATTGAGGGGAATGAGGGTGAAGGGAAGTTAGGGGAACCATTGACCTCCATTCATCTTGTTTGGGAACACTTAGGAGGTGAAGTTAATTCACCTCCATTTACCTTGGTTCACCCCCTAATAGTATAAAAATTGTTACCCCCCAAATTGGGGTGTAACCAAGGGGAAGAGAATTCCCTTCCCTTCCCTTCCCTTTCCTTCACTCAGTTTCCCTTAACTTCCCTTCACCCCTACGAATCCAAACAGGCCCTAAAGAGAAGAGGGAGGAGAGACAAAATGAAAAAGAGAAAAACGCCGTATTAAGGGATTTTCGCTCGATCGCTGCTGTCTTATAGCTCAGTGGGGTCCGTTCTTGGGTTCTGCCGTTCTGGCGTGAGGAAAAAGAGGTTTTTTTATATTAGTCCTTCACATCTTTAATATTTTGTTAGGACGCATATATTGAACTTGCTATTAAGTCCTCCAATTGTTATATGTTGCTATTACTTATTTGTAGCTATTAATTGGAGGGAGTAATTATAAACAATTTATTAGGAATTGGGGGATCTAATAGAAATTTAATCTTTAGGGGGACTCATTTGAAACATATTACAGATTTAAGGGCCTGTATACATATTTACGAGAAATCCATACGCATATATAAAACTTTTTAAAACAATCCAATTTCGTACGGCCTTTAATTCAAAGTGTTAATTTCAATTTTGAGTTTTGTTCTTCAGTTGTCAGAATAGTGTTGACTTGCAGGTTGTGAGACTTGAAACGAAGAGAATAAAGAAAAAGGGTCATTTTCAAGTAAAGTAAAAAAAAAAACTTAAACATTTTTATCATTATATCCTAGAATTTTTGCAAATGGACGTTCGTTTTGGTAAATCTGAAGAACAACTCCACAATATCTCTATATGGTCATAAATTTAACTTTTTAGATGACATTTTTCTTGAAAAAAATTGGATGTAAATGAAGAGGTTTACACATACGATGCATGAGAGTTCATATTACACAATTGTTGGGCTCATAATAGCAGTGTGACTTAAGGGTTGTTTTTTATGTTTTCACTCTGAAGTTGCAATGTAAATGAGAAATGGTACTAAAATAAATATCTACATAACCAGAAAATGACAAAATGACAGCATTTTTCATAATCAAAATTCTTAGATTAAAATATATATGACTTCGCTTTCTATCATATAAAAAAAAAGATTAAAGTTGAGAAAACTACACTTAACTTCGGATGATTATCAAATAACTCCCATTAACTATCAAAATATCATAAGAAACCGCTTAAGTTTAGAGGTTATTAGAGAATCCCCTTTCAACATTAAGATTTGGAGTTTTTTTTTAATAGGCTACTTTTGCTAAATATTAGCAAACTCGACCGTTTTGCTAAACATCTTTTTCGAAACACACGGGACTAATAGTCTCGTGTGTTTAATGACCGCTAATTGGCGCGGCCACTAAACAAGACTCAGAAAATCCATAGGATTACTAGTCTCGTGGGTTTTATGAATAGTTTTCAGAAAACACACATAATTAGTAATCTCGTGCGTTTGACAGAGACGTTGTCTATGTTGCCTAACAAATCCACGGGATTATTTAAGCCCCAGTTGTGCCCCAAAATTAGGGCACAACCTCTCTGCCCCGATTTCTCTCCCTCTCTAAACCCGAATTGATAAACACTCTCACAATCTCTCTCTCTCTCCCAATTTCTCTCCCTCAATCTCTATAACTCATTCCATCGATTCTCTCCCAAATTACCCCTTTCTCCCTCAATTTTATCTATCTTATTCTCTCCAAACTCATTCTCTCCAAATCCAAATTGAAATCTTCCCCAAAGTTCACTCCGACATTATTAATCTCTAATGTGGTGTAGCTCCTCTGAGGCCGACGAATTTTAAAACTTCATCAATGTATATTTTTTATAATTTTTCTATATTATTTAGTTAATATTGTAGTTTGAAAGTAACTGTATATTTAGAATAATTTTTATTAATTATGATAAACAATAGGATTTGGTTAAAATTTGATAGATTAAATTTGATACAGAGGGTCTTTCAACTACATTTTAACTTGTAGCTAGAAATAAGATATATAAAATTTAATTTTTGAATAATGTAAATAATTTGCATATGATGAATGCTAATATTTCAGTTCGAATGGCAAATAGAATACCAGTTATTTGCTTATTCAATAGAATAGAAAACTGAGTGTTTGAATGAATAATATATCTATATATGAGGGATGATAGAGAATGGGTAAGTAATTTCAATTGGTTTCCCATCCATTTTTAGTTTATTAATCCATTGTTAGCTTTTGTTTGTTTATATATGTATCTTTTTGTGTAATTGTAGATAGACGCTATGGATGAGATAAAGGGGATTGCAAATGATGGCATAGGTACCGCTAGAAGGAGATTCAATATATGTATTAGTCTTGCAGCGGATAGTGCGAAGAGTGTTGGGGATGCACAATCCCCCTGATACGATTTGGAAATAGAGATTTAGGAGAGAAGAGAGAAAATCAAACAATCTCAAACACAAAAGATTTATGTGGTTCGCTTCTCAATGTGAGAAACTACGTCCACGACCGCCGCAGGAGAAAAATTCACTATTTTTCGTCTTAATACATCATGCCCTAATCAACTCTTTTATAGACTTAAGGGTTTAACAAGTAAAAAAAGGAAACAAATAAAAACAGGTTAAAAAACGAATCTGGGCCAAAACCCGACTCCGGTCGACCGCGATGCAGAAAAGTTCCTCCTTCGTCGTTTTGCTTGAACTTCGCCATCGTCGATCCTGTTCCTCTTGTTCCAACTTTGTTCCTCTTCTCTTCTGAAGTATAGGACATGCTTAATAGTTAGGCTACACATATCCTAACAATCTCCCACTTGGAGACTAACTATCAACCTCTTTCAGCTCTCTCTGTGGCAACGGCCTCCGTATCATCAAGTGCTGAGGCCAACTGAAGTTGAGCACAACTTCAGTTTCTCTGTAGTGACAACCTTAGTAAGCATATCAGCTGGGTTCTTGCTTCCTTGAATCTTCACAAGTTCCAACATGTCCTCGTCCAACGCTGATCTTATGAAGTGGTAGCGGACCTGTATGTGTTTGGTCCTTGCATGAAAAGCGGGATTCTTTGCCAAATAAATTGCGCTCTGGCTATCACAATGTAAGACACTCTTCTCACTCTTCTGTCTCAGCTCCTCCAAGAAACCCTGCAACCATATCATCTCCTTGCTTGCCTCTGTCACCGCAACATATTCAGCCTCTGTCGTTGATAAAGCAACGATTTTCTGCAACTGAGAAATCCAACTAATAGCTGTAGAGCCCAAAGTGAATACATATCCTGTAGTGCTCCTTCTCTGGTCTATCTCACCAGCATAGTCTGCATCAACAAAACCCCGCTGGACTGACTTGCCTCTTCTGAAGCATAAACAATCTTCTATTGTACCTCGTAGGTGTCTCAGAATCCACTTTACTGCTTTCCAGTGCTGCTCTCCTGGATCTGACATGAATCTGCTCACAGCTCTCACTGCATGGGCAATGTCGGGTCTCGTGCATACCATGGCGTACATAAGGCTTCCAATGGCTGAAGCATATGGAACCTTAGCCATGTATTCTTTCTCTTCATCAGTCTCAGGACACTGTTCCTTAGTCAATTTGAAATGACTAGCTAATGGTGTGCTAACGGCCTTAGCACCGCTCATCCCGAATCTCTCAAGCACACGTCTAATGTACTCGGCCTAAGATAGCCGCAGTGTGCCCAAGAGTTTATCTCTACTGATCTTCATTCCCAATATCTGCTTCGCTGCGCCTAGATCCTTCATGTCGAACTCACTCGACAGTTGCTTCTTCAGCTTCTTGATCTCTGTCATATCTGAACCGGTTACAAGCATGTCGTCGACATATAGGAGCAGGATGATGTAACTTTTGTCAAACTCTTTGACGAAACAGCAATGATCAACATTGCACCTGGAGTAACCGTTCCTGTGCATGAATCCATCGAACTTTTTGTACCATTGCCTTGGAGCTTGTTTTAGGTCGTACAAGCTCTTCTTCAATCTGCATATCATCTTCTCTTTTCCCTTCTGAGTAAACCCCTCTGGCTGCTGTATATATATCTCTTCCTCTAGGTCACCGTGGAGGAAAGATGTCTTTACATCTAGCTGCTCGAGATGTAGATCTTTAGCTGCAACAATACTCAGGACTGTTCTGATGGTAGTTAGTTTGACTACTGGGGAGAAGATCTCTGTGTAATCAACTCATTCTCTCTGCTGAAATCCTTTAACCACCAATATGGCCTTGTATCTCTTGGAACCATCATGTTCCTCTTTGATTCTGTACACCTATTTATTGCTCAAGGCTTTTTTTCCCGTTGGTAGCTTCGCAAGTTCCCATGTCTTGTTGGTGTTCAAGGATTTTATTTCATCTTTCATAGCAAGCTCCCACTTGCTCGGTAGCTTCGCAAGTTCCCATGTCTTGTTGGTGTTCAAGGATTTTATTTCATCTTTCATGGCGAGCTCCCACTTGCTCGCATCATCCACTCGAAGGGCCTCATCATAATTTTCTGGCTCTCCACCATCACTCAACAACAGGTAGTTGAGATGAGCTCTGGACTGTAGTGATGGGTACTTCGGATTAGGCTTGGGGACTCTAGCTGACTGCCTCAACTCTCTGACGGGCGAAACAGGCTCTCCATCTTCATCTGCCCCCTCTGAAGTAGTCTCATACATCAACTCTTCTTCTTCATCAGAACTAGCTTCGGGATTGCCTCCATCTGAGGCATCATCTGACTCGAAGTATGTGGGATCACGCTGTGTCGAACTAGTGGACTGAATAACATCACGGTCTTTGTAGAGGACTGTTTCATTAAAGACCACATCCCTGCTTCTGATGATTTTCTTGTTCTGCTCATCCCAGAACTTGTAGCCAAACTCATCACCGCCATAGCCAACAAAGAAATATTTCAGAGACTTAGGATCAAGTTTGTTTCTTGCATGATCACTCAGATGAACATAAGAAACACAACAAAATACTCTCAGGTGAGAAAGGTTTATCTGCTTTCCACTCCATACTTCTTCAGGTATTTTGTGCTCCAAAGGCACTAATGGTCCCCGGTTGATCAAGTAGGCAGCTGTGTTGACTGCTTCTGCCCAGAATTGCTTTTGAAAACCTGTTTGTAACCGCATACTTCTGGCTCTCTCAGTCAAAGTTCTGTTCATGCGTTCTGCTACGCCATTGTGCTGGGGTGTACCTGGCACTGTCCTCTCTAATCTAATGTCGCTGTCATAACAGAACTTCTTGAACTCTGAGTCTTCATACTTGTCGCCGTTGTCAGAACGAAGCTTCTTTATCTTCAAACCGGTCTCGTTCTCAACCATAGCCTTCCATCTCTTGAAGACTTCAAACACTTCTGATTTGTGTTTCATGAAATAGACCCAAGTCTTCCTCGAGTGATCATCTATGAAGGTCATAAAGTATAACCTTCCGCCGGTGGATGGTACTGATGCTGGACCCCACACGTCTGTGTGAACTAACTCAAGCTTCTCTTCTTTAGGGGTTTTGCCAACCCTTTTGAAACTTATTCTCTTTTGTTTCCCAAGAATGCAGCTTTCACATAGATCAATATCAGCCGATCTCAAACCTGGTAACTTCCCATTCGATTGCATAACCTTTAGGCCTTTGCTACTCATGTGACCTAGCCTCTGGTGCCATAAATTTGGGTCTTCCTTACTTTCAGCCACTGCAATGGAACCTCGTGCATCTATCGTCATGTAGAGAGATCCCGTCTTCGTACCACGGGCAACAACCATGGATCCCTTTGTAACCTTCCACGTATCACATGCGAAGGTTGTTACATATCCCTCTTTCGCCAATTGTCCTATGGAAATCAGATTTTTTCTCAAGCTAGGAACATGTCTCACATCGCTCAGCTTCCATGTAGACCCATTGAGCTTGATTTGCACGACTCCTTTGCCAACTATATCACATGGCTGATCATCATCAAGATAGACTTTTCCTAGGTTTCCTGAAACATAGTTCTCAAATAAATCTATATTTGAGGTAGCATGAAACGAAGCTCCTGAATCCAGCACCCACGATTCAGTTTTGCTCTCCAACGAACAGATTAGGGCATCATCTGATTCTCCTGAGGCCACGTTCGCTTCAGTCTTGTTCTCCTTGTCCTTCTTGGGTTCTCAGCACTGATTCTCATAGTGGCCAAACTTGCCACAATTCCAGCAATCGATCTCCTTCTTAACCTTGCGGTTCCTGGACTTTGACCTTCCGTTCCTCGAGTTAGGTCTTCCACGGCTATTTCATCTGTTTCTGTTTCTTCCTCTGCTCTCAAGATTCAACGCCGACCCTGAATTAGAAATCCCTTCCTCTTGCCTTCTAATCTCCTCAGTCATAACCATGTCCACCACCTCTGAAAACTTCAGTTTTGATTTGCCACATGATCCGCTAATCGAGATAACGGTACCCTTCCAACTGTCGGGTAATTGACCAAGTATCAAGAGGGTTTGGATTTCATCGTCAAACTGAATATTGACCGAGTTTAATTGATCCGTGATCTCGTTAAACTCATTCAGGTGTTCCTTGAATTTCTGGCTCTCGGACATCCTCAAATTAAACAACTTTTTAATGAGATGTACCTTATTCGCCGCAGAGGGCTGCTCATACATACGGGACAACGCCGCCATGAGATCCGCCGTCGTATTCTGATTCTTGATGTTGAACGCTACTGATTTAGACAAGATCAACATGATTGCTCCAAGGGCCTTTCGATCCAATAGCTTCCAATCCGCATCCTTCATATCCGTCGGCTTCTCTCCCAATGGTAGGTATAAATCCTTCTGATAGAGGTAGTCCTCCATCTGCATCTTCCAGAACCCGAAGTTTGTTCCATCAAACTTCTCAATCTTGGATGTTTCCTTCTCAGATCCCATTGTCTCTGACCTCAAATCGCTCGCGCCGAACCTGGTCGCTCTGATACCACTTGTTGGGGATGCACAACCTCCCTGATGCGATTTGGAAATAGAGATTTAGGAGAGAAGAGAGAGAATCAAACAATCTCAAACACACAAGATTTACGTGGTTCGCTTCTCAATGTGAGAAACTACGTCCACGGCCGCCGCAAGAGAAAAATTCACTATTTTTCATCTTAATACAACATGCCCTAATCAACCTTTTATAGACTTAAGGGTTTAACAAGTAAAAAAAGGAAACAGATCAAAACAGGTTAAAAAACAAATCTGGGCCAAAACCCGACTCCGGTCGACCGCAGCGAGTTTCTGGCCTGTGCACCCAGCTGTGCACATATGCTCGGTCGACCGCGATGCAGAAAAGTTCCTCCTTCGTCGTTTTGCTTGAACTTCGCCATCGTCGATCATGTTCCTCTTGTTCCAACTTTGTTCCTCTTCTCTTCTGAAGTATAGGGCATGCTTGATAGTTAGGCTACACATATCCTAACAAAGAGTTCGTAGAGCTCTTCATCCAACCCATGAGGATCGACATGATGATCACGAGTAGATGGCGTGCGAGGTGAGGGAATATGTACGCCGATGAAGACGAGATAGATCTAGCTCTCATGACAATGAAGCTGGTCCATATGAGCCCCGCATGCAACCGAAGAGATCAAGTTGAAGGAGGACACCGACGATCGGAGCGGGTACAAAGAGACAAACAATATGGGAAGGGCAGACTTTTATGTTGTATGTGATAGTTTATTAGTTTTTATGCTTAGACTCTATTTGTAACTGCAAATACTTGATAAATCTGATTTATTAGGAGTATTTTAGCGTATGGATATGTATACGAGCTATCTACTGTGTTGTGATGCTGTGAATTAATTAAATGTATTTTAATTTATGTTTATTTCTTAATATTTATAACTTATATAACGATTATACCGTTTAGCAATGTATATGAGGCGGATTTTATATTTTTTGTGCATGTTTAGCAACATATATGAGGTATATATTCATGCAAGTATGATCTATACATGTTTTGTGCATGTTTGGATTTGTTGAGCAGCAAAGACGAAGTATCTGTCTAATGCACGAGATTACTAGTTCTGTGCGTTTTCTGAAACCTGTTCAGAAAACCCACAGGACTAGTAGTCTCGTGTGTTGTCTGAAAACTGTTCAGAGAAGCCACAGGACTAGTAGTCCCATGGGTTTTTTTAGTCTTGTTTAGTGGTTGATTAGCAGCCACTACATATACGGTACTAGTACTAGTCCCGTGTGACTAATACTAGTCCCCTATGTTTCGAAAACCACATTTAGCAAAACCGATCTCTTTTTGGCCAGCTTTGATGAGCTGGCCAAAAAGAGGTTGGTTTTGCTAAATATTTAAAACCCCTTGTATAATTTTACCCACATTTGTAAAAATTTTGTAATGCTGTTTGGGGTTTTCTCATAGAATCTTAAGATTTAACATATGCCACTTTTGCTAAATATTTAGCAAAACCTTGCTAAATATTTAGCAAAAGTGGGATATGTTAAATCTTAAGATTCTATGAGAAAACCCCAAACAGCATTACAAATTTTTCACAAAGGTGGGTAAAATTATACAATGGGTTATTTTTGCTAGTGAAAGTTGTGTTTCACACTTTTAGGAGAGTTTTCTGACAAATCTTATAAGTTAAAGGGGATCTTCAATAACCCCTACACTTAAGGGGTTTTTCTGATATTTTGAAAGTTACAGGGGCTAACCAATAATCACCTGAAGTTAAGAGGGTAAATGTTTCTCGTGATCTCTGACACCAGCAGAGGTCCCAAAAAAAAAAAAAAGTAGTAACTGAGGTGAGCTCTTGCCTCTTACTCATAAGCGTGACATGAGATTTATTTAATCAATGCGCACAATCGAAGGGGGACAGTAATCATGTGAAACTGATGACAACTTTCGTTCAGAAGAATGATGAACTCTGATATTTCTCCACAAAGACTTTCTCTTGTTTTCCTTTTCTCGTTAGTTTTATACACAGCTCCCGTATTATAGCTCATCATTCACGGGCCACCCTGAATCAAGATGAGACCGCCCCCCCCCCCCCCCCCCCGTTATCTGAACTTGCCACTGGACGCCAATAACTACAGTACAACGAGATAACTCTCAGAATGGAGTGTTTTGAGGTTTTCCAGGGGAGCCCTGTCTCATGTTTAGTTGCGACCTGAACAGAGATGGCAGCAGCAAAGTCTATCCAAAATGCTAGACAAGAACCAGGCCCCTCGCTCCAAACTCAGTTGTGTTGCCAGAAACCAAATATTTACTTGCTGCTCAGGCTACCACTACTTTCTACCTCCACATGCGAAAATTGTTTGTCGTCATATCTTTTTCTTCTAAGAGCAATGTAATACATACTGTGAAGCCAGAAAATTCTCTATAGAATTCTCACACGCGGCTTCAACGAATAAATTCAAATAATATACCACTGAAACAGCTCAATAAGTATGAGAAAAAATATGTTAGCACATTGGCTAAAAGCTTCGAGAAGAAGCAGTCTCTGGTATGTCATTTTGAACTGATGCTGGCTGTCACAAAAGAGCAATTTGCTGAGTGAGTTTCTTTCACCGCTGCAGAGCTCACTCACATCCATCGCTTTGTGGCCTTGGCTGCAGAGGAATGTACAGGCGGTGGACTTTTTGTCCTCGCATTTTGAATGTCTGTCGAATCTGCAATCAAACATTCTTAAGCACAGAATTTCAAGAAATCATGGATATCAGTAGAAAGTTGTATCTGCAATCAAGCCATTGTTTAGCATCACTTCCCAGAAAAAATGGATTTCAAACCAAATGCATTTCATATAGATTTACAAACCATTGTTCTGCATGATGATGTTGATCTTCATATTGTAAGCACAATGAGTTATTATATATCCTTGTTATAGACAGATGGAAATATGTAGCAATGTAAGGACTACAGAAACTAGTAGCATCTATGCAAAAATTCTTACATGTGTCTGTTCCACCAAGAGAGGATCGCCTTGAGACGCTCATATTGGTCAATGACTGCCTCCTCCGCGACCTTGCATCAGCTGTAATTGGTGATTTTATAACAATGGTAGCATTGTTTCTCCCAAATTTCGTGGATGGTGTTACCTCTAATGGAAGTGGGTTAGGCCTGCACATTTTTTAGAAAACAAAATTACTAGAAAGTGAAAGGACAGAAAACACTAAGTAATAACAACACAACTGATATAATGATGTGTGCACGTGATGTGTGCACGCGCATGTGTGTGTATGCACACAAGTATGCTTAACAAAAATATCATTAGACAAAATGACCTTTTACCTTCTTTCTGAGCCATTTATGAACTTCCCTATAGTCTGTAAGGATTTTCTTATGTGGGATCCTTTACTACTGCTTGCATTAGGATTGAAGCTCCTTGTCCTATACTTATTATTAGTTTCTGGTGTCACAACTACTTCTTCCACTTTTCTTGAAAAATCAGGAGTAGGCTGTTGGAGAAGCATTGTATTGTATGTGCTCTCAGCATTCTGTAGCAGCTGACTCTGACTTGAAGAATAACAGCTTAAAGGAGATACATAACACAAGTCCTCTGCTGGAAATACTTTACTGTTAGTCTCACTACTTGAGCTTACTTTCGCGTCAGCGCCATCTTCCCGGGATAATAATTCAGGATAAAAGATGTTCTCTTTTCGCAGCCCTGCAGTATCTGGTGTATGAAGCTGCAACTAGAGAAGTAACTGATTTAGATGCAACATCCTCAAGGAAATGGGTAGTTGCGAATCACAAACTGAATCATTATAACTTACATTTGAAGCTGAGATGGTAGATTCTGGCTGGTTTTTTCCATGCAGGGAACCTTCTAAACTCAATCTCCGAGAGCGAATGGGGCCATTCTCTGCACCCAACTTTGGTCTCGGAAGAGGGGACTTCAATGACTTTTTATCATCAAGAGTAGCTGCTATTGCTGACTTCCTCACAACAGAATTCTCAATGCTTAACTTTCGTGAACGTGGAGGAGTGATCTCAGTAGTGTGCTTTGATCTTTCTCCTTCTTTGCATGCAATTGCCTTCTTGAGATTATCTATCTGCATGTATACTGGAATGTCAGATGAGACTAAAGGAAAAGGGAGAATGCCAGCTTACTAGGAAAGACAGGCTAACAAATATTAGTCTCAAAGCTATGTTGCATGGGTACGGATGTCAGTACGGATACGAGACATGGCAAATTTGTAAAAGACAGGGTATGGGGACACAACTATATAAATATTTATATACACATATTATATATTTGAATTAATAATTTATATGAGAACAAGGATGAGAATTAAAAGTACTAGTTTCATATTTATTTTATTATGCGGATTTAAATTGGAAAAGCACTCATTTTTAAACTAAACATCCAAACGAATCTTCAAAAACATAATCAGAATCTGACCTATGTCCAATGAGTTTCAAGAAGTGGGAGTGAAGTGTAGGATATATGTCCAAAAAAAGTGTATGACAAGTGTTTTAAATAAAAACATGTATTGTATAATTGAATACATGCCTAAATAAATGTATGTATTTGTGCAAGGAGTGTCCAAGGAGGTTGAGTACAGGTATGGATACTTGTCGGGTATGGGTACGGCTTCATATTACAAGTGTTAGCAGCAGGTGCCTAATAAAGCCCAGCCCAGCCAAAACTTTTGACAAATGAAAAGAAAACAAAAAGGGTGGGTCCCACAGCATAGTAAAGTATTATTATTTTATTATGCATAGTATTTTTTCAAAAACTATAAATAGGCTCCAAATCCTTAAGGAAAATCTCATCCCAGAAATAACTTCTCATATAGAAGAGTGAGAGAGAAAAAATAGAGAGAGAGTATCTCCTTGTAAATAGAGATTGTAACTCCAGAGTTTTCTTCTCATACTAGACTCTTCTATCCTTGCCCGTGAACGTAGGCAATCAAGTGCCGAACCATGTAAATCTGTGTGTCTATCATTTTATCTCTATTTTTGCTTTATTATTGCTACGACCTTGCTCTATTGGGTCCCGGGTTTATCCCAACAAGTGGTATCAGAGCCAACTTAGGGTGCTTGTATATATCTACTTATCATATGCTCTGTGGCTGCCACCAAATATGGATTCTCCACATCAAAAAATAAGTTAGGTTATCATTTACCCTTTGAAGATGATGGATACTATTCATGAGTACGGTACTGTTCATAAATACGGTACTATTCACAAGTACGATACTATTCATAGATAATGTTACTGTTCATAAATATAGTTACTATTTACATAAGATAGTAAAAAGTTACTGTTCGTGGTAGAAGCAATGACGATGATCAAGTGGAGCGATATCATGCTAGATTGGTGGTAAAAATATATGCTCAGAAAGAATGTATTAACTTTAATGGAATATTTTCTCCTATAGTTTGACTTACAATAGTCCGAATAGTCCTGACTATGAGCGCTATATTTGACTTACATCTAGAACAACTAGATGTGAAAACAACATTTCATCATGAAGATCTTGAAGAAAAAATTTGCATGCTCTAACCAGAAGGTTTTGAAGAAAAAGGAAAAAAGAACTTGATTTGCAGATTGAACAAGTCTCTGTACGGTCTAAAGTAGGTGCCGAGATGTTGGTATAAGAGATTTGATTCACTCATCATGAGCCTTGGATACAACAGGCTTAATTCAGACCATTGTGTATATTTCAAGAGGTTTGGTGAAAATAACTTTGTTATTTTATTATTGTATGTTGACGACATGTTGGTTGCAATATTTCAAGAGGTTTGGTGAAAATAACTTTGTTATTTTATTATTGTATGTTGACGACATGTTGGTTGCAGGCCCCAACAAAGATCGTATCAAATAACTTTGTTATTTTATTATTGTATGTTGACGACATGTTGGTTGCAGGCCCCAACAAAGATCGTATCAAAGAATTAAACGCTCAGTTGGCTACAGAATTTGAAATGAAGGATTTAAGATCTGCAAACAAGATTCTAGGGATGCAAATTTATCCATATAGAGTTAATAGGAAGATTTGGCTTTCCCAGAAGAACTATTTGAACAAAATCTTACGACGCTTTAACATGTAAGATTGTAAGTCAATTTCTACCCCACTTCCTGTTAATTTCAAGTTATCCTCCAGTATGAATCCTAGCAGTGAAAAAGAAGGGATGAAGATGTCTCGAGTACTGTATGCATCAGTAGTGGAAAGCTTAATGTTTGCTATGATTTGTACAAGACCAAACATTACACAAACAGTGGGAGTGGTTAGTCGATACATGACAAATCCTGATAAAGAGCATTGGAATACTGTAAAGAGGGTTCTACGATACATTCAAGGAACCTCAAATGTTGCATTATGTTATAGGGATCTGATTTTATTTTCAGTGGATATGTTGATTCTGATTATGCAAGTGATCGTGATAATAGCAAATTCACCACATGCTATGTGTTTGCATTTGTTGGCGGAGCTGTAAGCTGGGTTTAAAACTACAGTCAGTTGTGGTTACTTCAACAACAGAAGCAGAATATGTAGCAGCTACACAAACTAGTAAAGATGCGATGTGGTTAAAGATGGTGCTGGAGGAACTCAGCCATGAACAAAAGAAGATATCTTTATTTTGTGACAGTCAGAGTGCTTTGCATTTGGCAAGAAATCCAGCCTTAAAAGAAGATATCTTTATTTTGTGACAGTCAGAGTGCTTTGCATTTGGCAAGAAATCCAGCCTTTCATTCAAAGACCAAGTTTATTTTGTGACAGTCAGAGTGCTTTGCATTTGGCAAGAAATCCAGCCTTTCATTCAAAGACCAAACATATTCGAGTTCAGTACCACTTCGTTCGTGAGAAAGTGAAAGAAGGAACAGTGAATATGCAGAAATTTAACACCAAAGACGGATATCAAATTTTTTAACAAAAGCAGTCCATACCGACAAATTTATTTGGTGTCGATCCTCCTGTGGTCTGTCGGAGACGTAAGCAACATGAAGATCGCAAGATAGCAAGAATGATGTGAAGATATGATTGATACTCAATCAAATCTTCAAGTGAGAGTTGTCAGCAGTAGGTGAGCTCAGCCAAAACTTTTGACAAATGAAAAGAAAACAAAAAGGCGGGCCCCACAACATAGTAAAATATTATTATTTTAGTATGCATAGTGTTTTTTTCAAAAACTATAAATAGGCTCCAAATCGTTAAGGAAAATCTCATCCCCAAAACAACTCCTCATATAGAAGAATGAGAGAGAAAAATAGAGAGAGAGTATCTCCTTGTAAAGAGAGATTGTAACTCCAGAGTTTTCTCCTCATAGTGGATTTTTCTATCCTTGCCCGTGGACGTAGGCAATCAAGTGTTGTACCACGTAAATATGTGTGTATATTATCTTTATTTTTGCTCTACTACTGCTGCGACCTGCTCTATTGGGCCCCGGGTTTGTCCTAATAATAAGTACCTAAGTAACATAGTCTCATAGAGAAAAGTGTTGAAATTCTCCGAGTAAAATGACATGCAATATAAGATCTTAAATGAAAGATCCCCCCCCCACACACACCCCAAATGATCTGGGTTCAGTGAAGAAGGAAAACAAACCATGCACCTCTACATGCAAGCCCGACCTTGACAAAGATAGGTATCCAAACTATACTCTTAAAAGAATTAATTGCTCAATCAAATATTTTAATGATGCACTTTTCAAAATGATTTGTTCACTCTAAGAAAATAACCCGGTTGCATATTTTCATTACCCTTTATAATAATTAAAGTCGAGCACTTGTGCAGTGTCTAACATCATATCACATGAAGATGTAGATGAAATATGTTTGAAATATCCAAGTTTACATATTTAAAAATAAACAATAACAAGAAAGTCACCTCTTCTTTCAGCTTCCGGATCTCACTGTTTTCTTTGTTTACATGAGCAGCACCAAGCTCAACAGTAGAGACCCTCTGGGCAAATTTCAAAGTGCTAATTGTTTCCCCATAAAAATCTGCTTCAGGGCTCACATGTGCAAACATTAACATTTTTGCATGCCCACCTATAAACAACATTTAAAAAAATTGGTAATTACAATTAACAAAAGTAATTCATTTCCCCAAGTAATACTCAAAAGAATGATTTTGAAACTAAAATACCTAAAGAGTTTTGGAGCAATTGTGTAAGCTTGCTATTTCTGTAAGGAATATGAGAATTCTTTTGAGCCAAAGCTGCAATTACGTCTCCCAGACATGCAAGTGATTTATTGATATGTTGTGCCTCCTTCAACCTATCACCTGTAACTTCTGATTTGTCTACCCTCTCACTGCCAGCAAGGTCGACTAAATGCAAGCAGCTTTTAAGCATGCTTCCTGATGCATCTTTGCCATGCACATGTACTGTAAGGACACTGCATAGAAAATGACAAGAGATACATTATGATCATGAATCACAGATAAGTGAATAACTTTTGCTATGTATGACAGATTACAAAGCTACCTGTGGGAGCGGCTACTTCTATTGTTCATAGCAGTAGAACTAAAAGCACGATTCTGCTCACCCAGTTTCATCAGATCAAGAACATCATTGGTTGTTTGTACACGGTGCATAGCAGCATCTGGAAGGCTCACTCCGCCATTCCCGGAATAATTTCTAATCTCTAATGTGGTTTTTCAGTTAAGAATCAACAGTCTACCATATGGGAAAATTTAAGTTACGGAACAAGAGACAAAAATTACATAAAGAAAGGATATTTTGTTGAACTAGTATCTTCACATAGAAGGTCCCTAACTTGTTCATTATAGATTTCCACCATTTGAACTTGAATCTCATACTTATTAATATCACTCCGGCTACAAGACAGCTCAAAGAGATCGTTAAGTGCCATATAATTGATCCCCATATCCTTAGCAGGTCCACTTGATGGGCCGCACTAACCAGAAAAAAAAGGTAAGTCAGTTACATTAATGTTTCCATTATTCCAACAAATAAAGGACGAGCGTTATATTACCATGGTATGTGTTTTCCCAGATCCTGTCTGGCCATAGGCGAATATGCAAACATTATAGCCATCCATGACAGATCTAACTAATGGCTGGGTATCCTTGTAAACCTCCTCTGTATAGTTTTACAAGTCATTGTTAGAAATAGATAAAATTTTAGTACGGAGATTTGCACATGAATTGTACACATATGCATGCATTTTATATACAAAATATTTGAAAGTACCTTGGGAAGCATTAGGGCCAAAAATTTTGTTAAACTGAAATGATTTACGGCTACTTTGTGGCTTAAGAGGATCAAGAATCATCATTGAGCCATCGTTTCCAATGTAATCGATGGAAGATTTAGCTTCGACGTGGAAGCTTGGTCTGATTCTGCAGAATACTCGAATATTACCTGCAGAATAAACACTGAGAATATTTTTCCTAGATAATTTTTTTCAAATAGCTCTCGTGAAGGGGGTAAAACAAAGAAAGAAAGAAAGAAACCTCTTAATTCTTGAAGTAAATTGTACAGATGCCTGTTTTCCTTCACAGCTTGATGGTACCCAACAGCAGCTGCAGAGAGTCCTTGAATTTGGCTTCCTACCAACAGAAATAGCATTTGTATATTATTTTCACTACATACACTAGAAAAAAATTGTACCTCAAGGTACTTCCAAGCTAATGGTTGTACAGTCTGTTTACACCCTTGGAAGCATGTTTTTTGAATTTACATAATACACCTAAATTCTAACCTATTCTTAAAGCTTAAAGATGGAAACCCTATTCTGCTACGACAGTTATCAATTTACTCTCATATCTCTGGTCATGTTATTCTTTCACGTACCTAATTGCACTAAATCATTTTGCAGTTGGGATTGTAAAGTACTGAAGTCCACCCTGGTACTTGACAATAAGGTCTTGAGTTCCTACAAAACAGAAAGGCCCCACAGTGGAGCAGTAGCAAGTCAATATAGAGTTGATTTAACAATAAAGGAATCTGGCATAAAAATTTCAAAATCAGAAGATAGGAAAAACGGAAATTCTGTTTACTTCAGTGACCTGAGTAATTGAAACAAGATACTAAAGAAGCAGACCGCAAAATATGCAGCTATGTAGCACGGATACGACACGAGGCATATCCTAAAAAATACATAGGATACGTATGTTCGACACGTGTGTCCGACACGGATACGACACGACACGGCTTCATGTTATGTGTGTCCGTGCTTCATAGATATGCAGACTTGCAAATCCATTAACCTATTTTGCGCAAAGAGTGAGTTTAGAAATAAGAAAAATAACTAGGCAAAAAATCTGATACATCAGTTTGAATTCATGCAAGTTCTTTCAGAGGCTGTTCTGTAAAAGAAGTCAAGTTCGGAAATTCAAAAGCATAACAATAATTTTTCCATAATTTTGCTAAAAACACTAAACTCTTGCACATATGAACTTTCTGTGAAAAACTGACAATGCTGGAAATGTTGTTGTAAGTGGTGCACAACTAAATTGCTGCAGAATATATGCACAATCTTATGTCTGAATCAACTTCAGTAAGTAAGGGTCTTTTTTTGCCAAATTGTACTGAAGATGTACTATAGAATTACCGAATGCAGTCATGTCTTGTATGGAATTATTATCAAATGAAGTAATAACGTGACATGTATCTGCAGAAGTCTCCTTCCATAGTTATATATAAGAAATATATTAGCGAGTCTCATAATTATTTGATAATAGTTCGTCCGAACATTCATAAATTTGAGAGCCAGAGGAGAGTTGAAAACATAGAATAGCCATTTACTTTTTTAGATAACTTGGACGTGGAAAGAAACAGGTATTGCATTGGTTTAGTAACCATATAAAGAATATGGTAATGAAGAAAAAAATGCCCTAATGATTTAGAACTTGGTATATATTTTTTGCAAAATGAATATGGTTGATAACTTTCACCCCATAACATATATTAATACTTAATTAAGTTAATAGCTCACCGTGAGTTCATTTTCCTGAGCCTTCAAAATATTCCTAGTGTTACGACTTTCCTTCAACAACTGCAAGTTACAGCAGAACAAAAGTTAAGTATCCAATTACAAGAGGAACTATTAAAGTTTTCCTTTGGAAAATGATTGGTAATTAGTTGGATACATTTATACATATATACCCACATAACATATAACAATATCATATGTACAACATGAGATTCGCAATAGCAACAATAAATTAATATAAAAAGTTCAGACCAAAACTATATACTCTAGACATAGCAAAAATATATTGTCGACATGAGTATCCAGGCGGCTTCCTTTTCCATAAGTTGTGATTATTGCTGTTGATTATCCAGACAATTAGTAATTTGCTTTTCCCTTATCATTGTGCACTTTCAACGACTTGTTCATCAATTGCTTCATGTTTTCTACTGAAATACATCTTTGGAATGTGAATTAATCGCATTGAATTCTACTGTACATTTAAAACATGTTAGGATTTAAAAAATATATTCCTCAATCCTCATCACAACTTTGCAGTTTTGGTGTAATGGTATCAGGGCAAGCCAGGTTCTCCCATTGGCCACGAATGTTAAATTAGATTTTAAAAAAAAGGTGACTCCGCTGCATGAGTCCAAGTTTCGACCCATACAAATGGTGCTCAACCTATGGGGGCATATTAGAATATGAAAATATATACCTCAACCATCACAACTTTGGATTCTAGGTGTAACAGTAGAGACTTTGACAAACCAAAAAGTGGTCTGTGATGTTGGAATTTACTTAACAAAATGGCAAACTGACTTAACCTTTACGGGGGGAAATGGTTAAAAGTAGGAGATTTATTATATCCGTATAAAGTGACAATTGATTATGCAAAATATTGCTTATATTTGTTATTTGTCTTGTACAATGGGAGATAGCGCCAAACATTAATGTTTGAGCTTATTGGAAGCTATCTTTGCACGTAGATTCTCAACAATTTTGCTTATATGTATGAAATGTAATTTTAAGTTTTATCTACCTAAGGCGTTACTATGATGTTTGCACTTATAAAACTAAATTTTTATATGTAATGCCAAGATCTATTCTCTCTGCATGTTGCACACCCAATATCTTTCAAGCTAACACTTTTTGTTGTCTCGTAATAACGTCTCACACCAACTATTTTTTTCTTCTTTTTCTTTTTCGTTTTTGGTGAGAACAGCATCTCACAATAAATTTATGATAAAGCCACCAGAACCCTACTTCCACCAATATTACTAAATTTTCAGGAAACAATCTCTCAGAAGGGAACCTCTAGAACATTTGCATGTCAAGAGTAATTTTGTTCACATAATAAAATAAATTAAGATTAAAACTCAACTATGAATTAGAGTATGTGATCAGAATAACATTGCAAGATCCGTATTGGGGATGTATCCAGCACCATATGGTAGACCATTTGTTTACTGACTTATTTCTAGTATCATCATTAGTTTCTTTCTTGATAATTCCACTCTCAGAGTCTGTTTGGTTGTTTTCTTGGAAAAAAAAGAAAAGGAAAATATTGGTGGAAACCATCAAATGGTTTCCTCCAATTTCCTCCACAAAACCCATGAAATGGGTATGCTTAATCATGGGTCACATCATCCAATGAGAGATTGCCACATCATCCCTTTTCTTGGTCCTTCTTTGTTCCAAGAAGTGAATCAAACAAAGAAAAAAGAAATTTATATAAGAAAATATGATGTGGACATCATATTTTTGAGTTTTCTTCCATTTTCGAGCAACCAAACAACTACTCGTAGCACATCACCTCTAGTTAAAATATTATCCACAAAAGCAGATGCCCTTCAACTATAAAACTTGGGTAATATAAAAGGCTAAACTACTATTTTAATTCTTACATAATCTTTCTAAAAGGGTAATATAAAAGTTGTATTTAGTAGATAGGCATAAAATTATTCAAAAGGTGTCAAGTGCGTAGCATGTGACAACTTAAAGTGGCTCCCATCAGTCGTAGCATTTAAATGGGACAAGTTCAATGAGAGGGTTTATATGATTTATAAAAAAAAATATTATTTTTTATTTTTTATTTCTTTATTTTTTGTGGGGTGGAGGGAGGTGTTGTGCAATCCCCCAAAGTTCAGGCAATTTAGTGAAATTTACGCCAAATATATAAGATGTAATTATATAGTCTGATAGAAGATGCATATCATTTATTGTAGAGACAAGTTCTGCTGCAGACACAAGGCACGAGACGGGAATTTTGTAAAAGTTAGACATTAGAACATGGTTATGTGAGTGCATCTCTTGCAAATGCAGATAAATGTATTAACTTTTTATATATATTTGTGAAATATGAGAAAGTGGCTTTTGGTAGAAAGTAATAAATATTCATTTTATACATGCTCTTAATAAATGTATTAAATTTTTACATATTTGTGAGTGTCGAACATAGATGGATATGCATGTTCATGTACAGATGAAAAAGGCCAACTGTTTGGTTGCCAGGAGCGTCCTTCATATCATAGGTTACTCTATGAATAGAAGTAAAACAAATCAGCTATCAAGTTGAATCCATGCTGATTCACTCATAAAATAGGAAAAAATATTTTAAGATCAACATTCCAAGTAAACAGATTAGAAGAAGATATAGGGATCCACTTGCCGCATGTTTGTAACTTGTTGTACATTTGGGCTAAAATAATCAATCAAATTTTCTCCAAATAGTGGCAGTGGTTTCAGAAATGTTTGATGGAATTGTCTGAGCAAGGTATACATTCTTAAATCAACTGTCAAATATAGCTTTCCTTTTCAGTATACACATTGCATTTAAATATTGAACAAGACAATATCCTGATATGTTATTATTTGAAAATATGTTCAGTTCTGATATTGTTTTTAAAACTTTTAAAAAAATCCAACTCTGATGCAAAGATTGAAAGATATAAGATATTGCATGCAGGCTTAATCTCAAGGAAGACGAGATATAACTCTATTACTTGCAAGGAAAGAGGAAGTTTTTTGGGCCTTTCAAAACAAATGCCAAACCCAGAAAGTATGTGATGAAAAAACTGCATGAACAGTCCTAATAAGAGCTGCAGCCACATAAATAAAGAAACATCTGTTCTGAGTCTTCTGACCAACATGCATATTTATCATTATGCTTGTATTGTGCTGGCAATCACATCACATGGAGGACTTTCACTTTGCAAACATTCAAGAACCATATAAAGTTCAGTGAAGAACGAGCTGAGTTATAAAACATCCTTTCTATAGAAGGCAAAAGAAAACCCATACCTTCTGATCCTGGATTCTATCTGAGTTATACATTTCCATCTTGCCTTCGATTTGCAGATCCTTAAGAACTGATCTCAACTACACTTGCATTACAGGAAACTCTGTTAGGAATTGTGGCTGAATATTTAGGTACCAAAACGTGAACCTTTCCAATAGAAACAATCAGATTACTTGATCTGCTTGGACTTTAACTACAATAAGCAGCATAGCATATTTAATAACTTAATCATGACTGTGGTTCACAGAAATGATAGAATGACATAATTTAGGTTTAAAAAAGTTATAAAATGAAAATAGGGTTAATTGCAAACAGACTGCCTTAGTATCACCCAATTGCGAAGAGACCCTGTGCAGTTCTTTTTGTTGTGAATAGACCCCCCGAGTGAACTCTTTTACTCTTAAAACCAATAAAAAGGTTTGGGAAGGCAGATGGACATTGCTGCCTTTTTTTTTTGAGTTTTAAAAGAGTCAACAAAGGTAACTAAAGGTGTGTGTATTTGCACTTGGGCCAATACTTCAGGGGGTCTATTCGCAACAAATAGGATTACAGGGGGCATTTTCACAATTGGATGCTACAACAAGGGGTCACAATTGGACGATACTACAGGGGATCTATTCGCAATGAACCCTAAAATGAAATAAGCTATCGGATGAACTAACTTTGATGTGTTAATGACGTCAATAATTCTCAGCATAATGTCCATATGAAGCTAACTTAATCATGACCGTAGTTCAGAGAAATTATAGAATGGCATAATTTAGGTTAAAAAAGTTATAAAATGAAATGAGCTATCATACAAATTAACTTCAACGTGTTCATATAATATCAATAATTCACTATTAGATTATTAGCCTAAGAAAATAATGTAAGAAGTGCTCGTCAAGATTATGTAGAAGTAGAAAAGCCAAAAGTAACTTTAAGAGGTAAAGGAATGCAAATTATGCATGAAAAAAAAAGTAAATACATCTTCTAAAGTATTAACAAACAAATTGATGTATTTCTCCATAACTAAAGCTAACAACTCTAGTACTTACTCAGGAGGCTTGTTTTCCCTAACATACTACTACAAGTGTGTCATCAAACCTGCAGTAGTAAATATGGCAAAAGGTTGGACCTTGGATCTATTCTGGAGAATCTAAGAACATGGCCTTACTTCCATTCATCTTACTTCCTTTCTCGTTCTTCTTTTGACTCCTTTTGAATTCACTCGGTTCTTTGTGAGCTATAAATGGTGTAAGATGCTAACAGGTCCAACAACCATTATTGTGTCCCAAACTTGGACTTGAAACATAACCTAGGAACCTACAGTGCCTATAGAATTTGTATCTGAACAACGCCTACCACATTATGTGAAGACGTAAGGCCAGCTAATCTTCCAATGCTATAAAACGTAAGTACAGTTCTTTTCTTTAGTTAATACTTACAAACTTAACACTTGCTCCCAGGTTTTTTTTCCCCCTACGACATTATCACAAGAGTATGCCATCAAATTCCTGGTAACATATGGAAAAGTGTTGAACCTTGGATGTTCTCCAGATTAGGTTAGAGCATCGCTTAATTCCCATTCAATCCCACTTTCTTTCTCATTCTTTAATAAGAAGGTTTGAGATTTAAAATTCTCAATTTTTAATACAAATTACAGATGGTCTAACATGGTAATAAGTCTACCATCCTACGTGCTTGCCAAACTTTAACTTGAAACATAAAAGGCTGTAGTCCTACCAAATCAGCATAGCAATATGTCTTATTATAATTCTAATTTATTATTTATGTGAGGGTAGAGACCTATGCGCTGCTATTAGTTGCAGCCAAATAAACAAAAAAAAAACACATGTTAATCAAGTACCACTGTTTCCCCTTATACATTACAATTCATATTTATAATGTATAAGGTTAAAAAGCATATACAACATACATCACAGAAGTTTCAAGAGCCCATATACCTCTTGCTCTTGCATGCAACCAGTGATTATTTTACTGAATAGCTTAGTTGAATCCTGAGCCAGAAAGACATAAAGAATAAAAACTTTAATAACTTGTACTTCAAAAAATGTAATGAAGGAAATTGGAAATTTAATAACACAACAAAGAGTTAATTACCGCTTTCCCCTGTCGCCATGACTCTAGAAGGTTTTGATCAATATTTTCCTTCGAATCATACACAAAATCAGATAACGTTCGCACAAGAGAACCCATTTTATCTACAGAGAAACATGAAAGATAAAAAGTTACAAAGAACTTGGAAGAACTAGCGCATTATGATGCTTATAATTCAGCAAAAAAGATCTGGTAAAACCTTCATTCTTTATATCATCATTTTGCACATTAAGCTGCTTTTCTGAATTTGTCGACAAGTCTAATCTTCTAACTGAAGCTCCCAAATTTACTGCATTCAACTGCATTCTATTTGTCTGTGGAATCATTGGAGATTTTGCATACTTCCAAGCCCCACAACCTCCTGTAGATTGCTTCCACTCATAATAAGCTTTTAATGCAAGGATGCAATCCACAATCTTGCCAGCCGATCCAGCCTCCAAGGTATCCTTTAACCAATCATGAAAACCTTTAAACTCAATGTGAACTCAAAGAAACAAATACAAACATAATCACTCACTAAATTCTTACTCTTTCAAGGTCTGAAGCCTCGAAGCTTGGCAGTTTCAACTCCTCAACTGCATCGAGAAAGTTACGAATGTTCTCAAAATACTGATAAGCCGGCAAAGGTTGGATCTCCATCGCGAGCCCAGCGCTTTGATTCATAACCACCTTGAACAAATTTGCAAAACATTAGAGAAATCTAACTTTAAGAAACAAAGAAGTTGATAATTTTTCCAGGGTAAAAACTTACAAGAAACCCCCTTCACTATAATACCCAGTTTCAGGAAAAAAACACCCTCATCTATTAAATTCAAGAAAAAACCCTAACTTTCAAAACTATCCTTCTTGTCCTAATTTAACATCTTCTATCATCTTTTCCATAGACCAGGAGAGCTACAACCATTACAAATGAGCACGACCTAATGAATATATGAGGGTGTTTCTTGTAATTTACTAAAAAAAATCGATTTTTACTCACCTTGGGCACAGCCCCTGGCTTTATCTTATTAATGGCATTGCAGAGAGTGATTCCGCTGCGCAAGCAAGTGATGAACTCTTTCTCCGACGGCTGCCGTGGCAATCCGAGGGGGCCAGCAATGCTCTCCAGCCACGCGGCGGCCTGGGATCGCCTGTGCGCTGCAGGAATCAAGAAGAAGGAAAGTAATCAACAAGGGGTTTTCGCGACCAAGATCGAAACTTTTCGGATAGGACTCACCGGCTTCTTCGGCTTTTCTTGAAGCGAGGCGAGTGTCACGAAACGAAACCCTCGGTTGCTCCTCCATTGACCTTGGTCTCGATCTTGATCCTGCTCCTCCTCGTTCTTGATTCTTTTAGGGAGAGAAAGAGCAGTTTGAGGATGGAGAGAGAGAGAGAGTGAGTGATAGGGTTTTTGGGGTGGCACGGAAATCGAACGTTATAAAATTGGAGAAAGAGCAGAGACCAGGTGAGTTTTTGAATTTGAACGTCTCAGTGCCGTTGGGGTTTGATCTCGATCGTTGATCTGTCTTTTAAAAGCATCGGCGATCATTTGTACTGTGAGGATGAATTGGGCAATTGCTAGTTCTACTAGGGGCTGTTTGGTTGGGTTTTTTTTTAGGGGGTGTTTGTTTTGATTTTTTTTTTTGGGATTTCAAAATGGGATTTGAAATCCATAAATGATGTGGCTTTTAGGATTTGAAATCCATAAAGGGGGTTGTGTTTGCTCCAACAATATTTTGGGATTTGGAATGCTAAAACTTGTAATATTTTGTTTGTTTCATCAATATTTTGGGATTTGGAATACTATAAATTATATATTATAATATTATATAAAATTTTAATAACATATATTATATAATATAATATATATATATATATAATATTATAGATATATTATATATTTTATATATAATATATAATATATATTGTAATATATAAATTATATATTATTTTATATAATTTATATAATTTATATTATATATATATATATATATATATTATATTATTTATATATATATTAAATTATATATATATATAGATGTATTATATTAAATATTATATTATTATAATATTATATATAATATATTAATCTTATATTAATCTTATATTATAAGCATTAATACATCAATATCCAACCCACATCCTCTCTCAAGTGTAGAATTTCACAAATGCCTAAATATAATAGTTTTTAATATTTTGGGATTTGATATCCCAAAATTGGTTTTGAAACAAACAAAGTTATCGATTTCTAAAACCTTATATCCCAAAAAAAAGATGGAAACAAGAGAGAGGATTTCACAAATCCTAATAAAATATTATTGTTTTATAATTTAGGGATTCAATATCCCAAAAAAAAAGTGAAACAAACAAAGTTATGGATTTTTAAAACCACAAAAAAGCACTTTTTACATCCCAAAACTATCATATCCCAAAAAAAAAAGCAAAACAAACACCCCCTTAAAGGAAAACTGCAATTATGGAACAAAAAACAGCTTTTAGGGCTTTTTTGGATTCCAAAAACTACGTTTGTTTCCCACTTTTTTAAGGAAAAGGTTTGCCAAAATACTGACAAAACAGTTATATTTTTTGGACACCCCATTTCTGCTATTTTTGAGTGGAATTGGGCTGGAAATCTGACACTCGCTTCCAGCTCAACATTTCCTTTTCTCTTCACGTGAAGAGCCCTGACCCGTTGTCGATACCCTCACCGCCTCATCTTGAGTTGCCTCTTCTCTTCTACCTTTCCCTCCTCCGTTTCGCGCCGATTCAAAAGAAAAATCAGGGAGCCGAGGCATCAATCGGCAGCAAATCGATCTAGAATGGTCGATTTGATCCCTGCAGGGTCACCTCGATGAAGCGTAGCCCTTGATTTCGAAAGGAATTTTCTGATGTTGGGGTTTTACAAGTCTACGATTTTCTGATGATGGGGGTTTTCATAGTGCATGTCGTCTTCGTTGATGGAGGTGATCTTCTCTGATTCGGGTATAGTCGAAACTCCTCCCTGATCTGAACTTCAGATCTGACGCCTTGATCTCTGGTTTAGGGGTTCAAGTTCCTTATTTGATCATCGGGGTCTACTCCACACCGATGATAAGGTACAGCCTTCACTGCGTTTTCTAATTTTTTTATTTTATACGATTTTAATAAATTGTCACTATTTACTTATTAATTGTAGGCAATTATAGAAGAGTCTGAGTTGTGGAATTGTGAGGAAAAACTGAGTAAATTTACGGCAAAGTTAAGGGTATATTTTGGCTGATTTTTTTAAATATACGCCAAATTAGGGTTTACTCCCCAAAATTTTTGTAATAGTCAATTTTGTTTTCTATACTTACATAATTTAGATGTTTAGATGTTTATCTTTACTTGGTGATGTCTTCTGTGTATATGAAGGCTAGCTCAAAATATTGGAACAATATGATTTTATTTAGAATATGAGATCGTGGTTGATAAGAAGAAATTATGTGTAGTTATATAATTTTTCTATATTGAATATCCGCTAAAAGTATTAGAATTAAAAATTCGATTCCATTATTTGTCTTTGTATAAGAATGTATTTTGCACTCATTGTAGATGGAAGATATTGATGACGAAGCGTTAATGAAGATATCGAGTAATGCTACTATGTCCGCCATCGTCACTGTGTTGACATGTGTAATGAGAATGCGTTGTAGAAGAAAATCTGTCACCTATCACCATGGGGAGGGGAAAAAACAAAAAATAGAGTCTAGGAATGCCCACATATGCCGCGTATTTTCTGGCCATAGTCACAGCTGTAGAGACTATGTTAGAATAAGGCCGCATGCATTTGAAAATCTTGTCAGAATAATGAGAGGGACAGGCCTACTACAGGATTCACGTGATGTAAAAGTTGAAGAACAATTGCTCATGTTTCTTAATGTATTAGGACATAAAACAAAAAATAGAATAGTAAGATCACATTTCATAAGATCGGGAGAAACAATTTCCAGATATTTTAACAAATGCCTAGAAGCAGTTGGTTGTATACGGGGGCTGTTCTTGAAGCAAGCACCAAAGGAATTGGCGCCAGAGAGTGTTGAAAGGCTTGACCCTCACTCTCAAAATGTGAAGTCGGTTAGCGGGGTAACTTCTACATCCAATGCCAAACCTCATTCAAAAAGGAAGGGTGGCAAGGGCAGAGATAATGATTCACTAATGCATGAACTCATCGAGTCCATGTCCCACTCAATCCAAAACCAACATATTTTACATTGGACTGATCGCATGGCCAAAGCTTTATCCGCACATGCGGCTGATTTCTCTGAGCTAATACTGGATAAGGTTCTGGATTTTCTATATGATAATGAATCAGAATCTAGACGGTTCATTATCAAGTCGAAAAATGCGCAGAATCTTTTCATAGAGAAGATTATTCGCGAAAATGGATTTGCCATCGATGATTTGCCGTAGTGGACACTATATTGGGTAATGGATTTGTTTCCTACCTACTTTTGCACTATTATGGCCGTATTTATAATCAAGTGAACATATTATAATCTTGTAATATCGTGAGACAACACCTTTACTTTATGTGCATGATGCAACTGCTACATATCATGTTTCTTACTCCTGTCTTGGCTGGCTATATTTGTTGAGTTGTATTACCAGGCCTGAGCAGTTCCTTATGTTCTTTTTATGTTATCTTACCTATTTGCAGAGTTTATATATCGTTTGCAGGACATTAGTGTGGAAATGGGCATTATCTCAAACAGCGGTGCCTCATCTGTGTACAGGTTATAACTATTCTCATAAGTTGCTTTGGGTTTTTTCGGGATAGGCAATGAGGATTGCTCATGTTATTTGTTAATGCAGCCTATACTGTAATTGTATTGGTCTGGATAAGGCTTACCATGATGAGATTGCAATCTAGATTGCTAATATGATTTTTAGGTGAGACAACTATTATGCGTAGGCAATCCTCAATGCAATTACAATATATAGGCGAGGCATCGTATACTGATAATATAGCTATAATCTGAGCCTTGTATGCCATTGCTAGCTTAGATTTACTGACTTTTTAAGCTGTGCCTCAATTTTTAGCTTTGTTGTGTGCTCTTCTTGCTTCAGTTTCCAGCAGTGCATCTGAGCCTTGTATGCCATTGCTTCACTTATATTTGTTTCAGCTTTTTGTACTGAGTTTTGCATGAGTTGTTTTTCCTTGTTTTTCCTTGTTTCAGTTCTCAGCCTGGCATGAACTTTTTGGTGATGTGCCTTAATATTCAGCTTTGCTGGGTTTTTTCTTGCTTCAGTTTCCAGCTGTGCTTCACTTTGATTTGCTTCAGTTCCTAGCTGTGCATCACTTTGCTTAGCTTCAGTTCCTAGCTGAGTTGTTGCAGTTTCTCCTGTCTTCAGCTTTGCTGAGTTTTTCCTTTGCACTCAGTTTTCAGCTTTGCATCACTATTTATCTGGGTTTAGAGTTTTTTTATGTACAAGTTATAACTATGTACATAAGTTAGTTTGGATGTAGTTTTTATTTGTTCCAGTATTACTTAGCTGAGTTTTACTGAGTTGTTTTTCCCTGCTTCAGTTCTCAGATTTGCTTCACTTATATTTGCTTCAGATTTTTGTGCTGAGTTGTTTTTTCAATAGGCAATGAGGATTGCTCATGTTATTTGTTAATACAGCCTATACTGTAATTGTTTTGGTCTAGATAAGGCTTACCATGATGAGATTGCAAGCTAGATTGCTCATGTGATTTTTAGATGAGGCAACTATTATGTGTAAGCAATCTTCAATGCAATTACAATATTTAGGCGAGACATATTATACTGATAATATAGCTATAATCTGAGCCTTGTACTCCATTGCAGCCCCTACTAATCTCATTTAGCTGATATTTTTAGCAATGCTTGCTTTGTTTGCAGCCCTTACTATCAGTTTTAATATTGGTTTGCTGGGTAATTTTGGCTTCAGTTTTCAGGTTTGTTTTAAAATTTGGCATTAGTCTCAGCTTCACTTTAGTTATGTTTCCACATGTACCCTGTTTATGATATATTATCTGCTTCAGTTTCAGCTTTGCTTCAATGCCTATATTCAGGCGAGGCATCCTATACTGATCATATGGCATCGTATACTGATCAGACTTGATTTTGCTGAGTTTTTATCTTAGTTTTGCTGAGTTGTTAGCTTGGTTTTGCTGAGTTCTTAGGTTAGATTTGCTGAGTCATATACTCCATGGATTGCCTCCATAAATTTCATTTCATACCACATTACACTTTGCAACTACAAGGCATATTTTCAAAGCTATAGATGAGTACACAAATTATAACTAAGAACAATACAATCATTTTCCAAATGATTAGTTGATGCTCTGCAGTTTTCAATTCCCTCTTCAGCTTTTTGATTTTTATTGCCCTTTTATCTTCATCAATGTCCTCACTTTGTGATACATGATTTATATTTCTACTGTAATCGCCCGCTTTGTCGGCCCACTGAAAGAAGTTGC